TAAACAGGTCTGTAACAACTCGTTCAACTCCCGTTAGCTTTGTTTTTTTCCTGTTCTAACCTGCTCCTGAACAGAAGTTATCCACCACATGTGCCGTAATTGCATATACCTCACATATTTAAATATACACAAGAAGCTGCTTTGTTCAAGAGCACATTTCCTATTTGTTTTTATAGCCTGCCTATCCATATAGTGTTTGTAAACTGAAGTGATATTGTGAAACAAGGCTAAGAAAAAATGTAATCTAATAGGGTTCCCCAGGTGAAGTTTTGAAAGACCCTCGAGTGCAATGCTGGATTGAAAACTACCGCAACCTCTTGGATGCATGGAGATTCTGGCACAAACGGGCTGAGTTTGATATCCACAGAGGCAAACAGGACCCCAGCTCTAAACCACTGGCCCAGGTAACGGACATCGAGTGAAGAATACTTGGAACGAATGAGAATAATCACAATGAAAATGTCATTATAGGTTACTGGTGAGGTTAAAATATTCATAAATGCATGTTTATGGTGTCTTGACATAAAATGACACACTCTGATGATGTGAGAGGGCAGTTGCAAACTTAAAGCAGTCTTGTTTGTTTACTGTTTAAGGCATTAGTCCCTCATTAACAACCAAGCGATCTTAAGAGTGTCAGGCAAGCTCATAACACTCACAGCTCTGCTCTCCAATTCTTGTCATAAAAACGTGTTTTGGTTAGTGATACTTGTTGTTTTCTCCTTTTACACTGGAGACATCTTGTTCCAGACAGTACACACATTGTACCTTAATAGACCCTTTTATAAAGCCTAATACTAAAACGTTTTTAAATGCGATTATAAGTACGCTGGTGCTGCAAGCGAAACTTGGCACTACCTGCAATGATACATCACTGGCATTCCAATATTCACAGTTAAGCTTGTTGGGATTATTGCTGTATTATCTAATGCTTATCTCCCTCTCGTCTCAAAGTGAAAATCAGACAGCTGGTGAGCGGGTGGTTGTTGGTTTTACCTTCATGTTTGTCGAACCTTATCAACCGACCTTTGTGGTTGTTCCTGTGCAACAGGTGTTTGTGAGCTGCAACTTCTGTGGGAAGTCTATCTCCTACAGCTGCTCGGCAATGCCTCACCAGGGCCGTGGCTTTAGCCAGTACGGTGTCAGCGGTTCACCCACCAAGTCAAAAGTCACCAGTTGCCCCGGCTGCAGGAAACCCCTGCCACGTTGTGCCCTCTGCCTCATGAACATGGGCACACCTGTTAATAATTGCCCAGGTAAACTGGTCTGTGTGGAGTATGTAGACAGATGCTGATATTTCCAGTAATGGGCAACCATCTTGGAGCAACTAAACTGAGCATTTGCGGGGGGGAATGTGTGGACTTTGATCAGCATTTAGGGTCAGTAGCACCTGGGAGTTTAGTGGCCAGTCCAGTTATTTACCATTGATTATTATTGATTTATGGACACATCTTGTTTTCGCAGGAACAGGGAAGTCAGATGAGAAGGTGGACTTGACAAGAGAGAACAAACTTGCTCAGTTCAATAACTGGTTCACCTGGTGTCACAACTGTCGACATGGTGGCCACGCTGGCCACATGCTCAGCTGGTTCAGGTGAGACTCACTAGATGCTACACGTCTGGATAATTTTTATGACTATGTGAATATGGTTCCTGCTATGGTGCCTGTGCCTTTGGTTCAGTTAATTTTCGATATACTTGTTTTCTGAAACAATAATAAGGAAAATATATATTTTTACACAACCACGCAAACGCAAAAATCTAATATTCATCAGTACAAACTATTTTTTAAGATATTAAGAGTTGCTAGCAAAAAAAAATCCAACATGCTGAGATTTAGATATACAGAAGGCTGTTCTGAAAGTCTTTGCAGATTATTGCATGGTCAATGGTAATTCCTGTTGTTAGACAGGATAGACATCCTGTTTTAAACCCAAAGTGGACAAATGCTGTGCACAAAGCATTTCATGTCTCTGTGATTATTGAGGAAGGCAAAGTCATTCAAATGATCCAGAAAAAGTCACTACTATCAATTACCTGTCAATTAAATGTAAAAGTAAATGGTAAGTTTTAAGTGTTGTCTATGATGGGATCATGCTAAAGAAGGGTTACTAACTTTTCCAGTATAAACTAGTTCGTTAGGAGGCAATCATGGTATCCTCTTTGATGGTAAACCTAATCCTCTTAAAGTTATCTATTACAGACAAAGGTGCTGTCAGGTAGAAATAATAAACCTGTGGCAAACCCTCTTTGCTTGACTTTTATTCTGTGGTTTATTTCTGAGTGTAAAAAATTTAAACTTGATAATACATGGACCTGCGATGCCCCTGTATTCTTGTGGCTGGGATGTTCAAACTTCTGTATTATCTTATGTTTACACGTTGTTGTTTTTCTTAATTGACCTTCATATGTCCATTACAGAGACCACACAGAGTGCCCGGTGTCGGCTTGCACGTGTAAATGCATGCAGCTGGACACCACAGGTAACCTGGTGCCTTCAGACAGTAGCTAAACAGGAGACGCCTGTCGGAAACTGAAGCCAAACACCAGCCCGAAGCCAACCAGTGCAGGTTCACTGCTGCACCCGCCACACCGACAGTTAGGCAAGGGACAAGGGGTGCCAGCAGTGTCCTTCTCTCTAGTGGTTGCTTGATTAGAATGACATACTGTTAAGTTATAGTCTAGTGAATGTAATGTTGTAACAGAGCCCTAAATGAAGAAGGGAGGAAGTGTGTGTTACTGATCTCATTAACTGAATCAGTGATAGAAAGGGAGCAAATGCAAACTCACTGCTCTGCTAATGAAAATCCCACTCAGGAGAAATACAAGAGGCCGTGCTGTAATCAGCCTCTTCCAATCTAACCTGAATCAGGCTCATTATGGTTTTATTGTGATCTTTAAATCAAATGTCCACTCACACATCAGGTTGTAAAGATGTGATCACAGGTGCCAATATGTCTGAGCTATATTTTGTGGCTTGTGTTTTAATACTCTATTTAACGTTAGTGTTTGTCTTACAAATGGATCTTCACATACCTCATGAAAGCATTTTCCGGGGGGGGAGGACGGTACCCCGGGTGACGGAGAAGAGTGTAGCACACAATAACAACACTCTCTTGCTCTCTTCATGTTCTTCTGTGCCACTGGCATTGTGCGGGAAGGCTTCAGTGTGAGGGGTGTCTTTTGCGGGAGAGGATGAGGAATTGGAGAAGGCAGGGGTGGTGGGTGATGAGGAGGAGGAGGAGGAGGGTGGGAGGGTGTACGTTTGTACGTTTGTATTCACCAGCCCACTCCAGGCCTGTGGTCCATGAAAGAAGCTCGCCAGAAAACAGCAGCTGCTCGGCACTCTGACAAGACCCTCCAGATTGTTCCCCTCATAAAGAACCTCAGCTGCCGGAACACTATTGACTCAAAGAGAGGGCGAGAGAACAGACAGCCTGAGCCTCGTAACCCCCCTCCTACACCCTCTGACATAAACAGACTTGCCCTCTTTCTTTCTTCCTCTCTCTGGTGCCCAAATTGCACCCAAAAACTATGCATACCACACATCAATCCAAGGATGGGCGCCGTCTGTGGGGGGACGGCCGTGTGTAAGCCGCATTGTAAATGGGTTTTCTCTTTTTCTCTGCCACCCTCCCCGCTCTGTCACTAACCTAGGGAGGCATTGTAAGTGAGAGGCGGCCTGCACCAGAGCTGGCTAAATCACTTAGTCATGGAGTAGGGAGGAGGAGGAGGGTGGGGAGGGGGCACAGGAGCTACTGCATGCTGCTTTCACCAGGATCTCTTCTTGGTGTGAGAGGCTTTATAAGCCTGCGTGTCCTTTTGTGAACTATTTTGGAGTGGAGCTGACAAATTGGCGAGCCATGTAACGTCCCAAAAAACAGGGCGGTTGGAATTTCATCCTTTCTGTGTTTCTTGTGTTTGCCTTTTAAATAAATTCCTAATGACAATTTTGAGCGCTGCTTGAATGGGGTGTTTTTCCGTAAGTTAACATGGTTTATTTGTACATTAGACTGTTTCATAGACGGATGGCAAGGATATTCTGTCGTGCATTATTTTAACTTTGCTTAAAAGCATCGAGTCACACATTATTCTCTGGTGGGAACTCCCACAGAATCACAGACCATCCATGCAGGCAGAAAGATGAATACCAGGGAAAATAGATTTTGGGCCTTAGAACTAGACAAGCAGTAAATCTCCTTATCGGCTACTTATTAGTCTCACCACAAGGTTCATTAATAGTTGCAAGGAGTTCTTGTCCATGTTGGATTAGAAGGTGAAGACTGAAATTCACTCTTGACCTTGGAAAGCAGCCCTTAATCAACAATCTCAACACAATCATAATTAACTTTATTGGCCAGTATGCTTAAGAATAGGAATAGAGCATAGAACAAGTTTACAGGAAGAGATATATATATATATATATATATATATATATATATATATATATATATATATATATATATATATATATATATATATATATATATATATATATATATATATATATATATATATATATATATGTGGACAATAACATACAGTGCGGTTTCATGTACAGGTCAGATTGTTACTGTAAACTATGTATATAATGATGGAATAAATATATGGATAATGTAAGTCACTTTACATCTGGGAAAGCTACGTGTGCGGAGGACATCGTGTGATATCGAGCAAAAGCTCCAGAACAGCCACTAATGGACATTGTAGTGAGAAAGTGTTAACTTCATATTTATATTAATACTGATATATATTGCATACATAGGTATGCAGCATATAGGCGGAAATCATGGCCAAAAAGTATTCTTACGTCTTTATTTTCACAAATAACATTAACCATGCTAATAACACATCTGACCTGATTGGATGAAAGTACGATCCATAGACAAGCCTGTACCAATCAGCGATGTTACTGTACAACGCCACTATCCAATCACAGCTTCGGACGTGAGCAGCGTAGCCCGCCTACACGCATCAGCCAGTAGTCTGGCCGAAACAACTGTCATTTAGAGTGAGTGGACATGATGGGGAAGACAGAGCGAGAGCAGGAAAGCACGAATTAAACGTTTCAAGAAGTATCAAAAACAACTTTAAAAGTTACTTGTATGGTGGTTACAGCTTACGTCGGCATGTGTTAGTATCTTACAGGTAAGTTCACACCAAAAAATGCGTGTTGGACAACCTTTTTTACCTCGAGCGCATGAGCTGAATTAAAAAAAAAAAAGGAAGCTAACGTTTTTCTGTAGCTAACAAGCTAATGTTTATCTTACCGTCCCCCGGCTCTCCCCCACCTCCTCCTCTAGAGAAGTAGCAGCTTTGGCAGCACGTCTTTCTTACTGCAACAGGAGTTAACAACCAGTTTCGGAGGATGGCAGCCCCCGGCAACTCGCTTCAACAGTCGAGGGTGAGACGAAGCAATGCGGGCTCCCCTGGCTCCTTCAACAACAGCAGCTGCCGTTTGCACCCCATCCGTGCCACCGTGCCCTACCAGCTCCTGCGTGGGGGTCAGAGCAGCCCGACCCGGGCGCAGACCCTCTATGGAGGAGCCACGAACAGTCGAGGCTCAAGTCCACCCTCCAGCCCGACACTCAATTCAGGAAGTGCAAATTCTAAGCAAAGACTGTCCCCCGAAAATAAGGAGTCCTCCTGTCCCCCAGACTCTCCAGTTTCCAGAGGTAAAAACACTTAATTTAAACCGTTTTACCTTACATAGGCTAAGAAATGCCATGTCACTACATGCTGTTTTCCACTGATAACGTATCCTGGTAACTTCTTCTTCTTCTTCTTCTTCTTCTTCTTTTTTTATTCCACGTAACTGGTATACAGTATACATTATAATATTTTAATAGTGCAAAACATTTATTAAATATTATATTGGGGGTGTGGGGGTGGCCTGTACTTCTAGAACAAGGATGGCAAGTTTAATTATTTAGCATATCATCCACTTGCACAATTACGCATCCATAAAGAGAATAGAGTGCACTACTGGCTCTCTTATTTCCTATGGACTTTTGACAGGAGAGAGGCGGAGGAGAGAATTGGCAGAAAGACATGCTTTCAGTTGTAAAATGGGCCACGTCAGTCCCAGTAGAATCAGTGCTGAGCAAATGGTCAGGTGTTGCCTACTCTGATCTTACTACATACATGCAGCATAAAGTACTCTGCATATTCAGAACATATGCTGAACCTCAGTATGTTGCCTTGCACATGGCTACCAGAGGCTAGTGCTATGTTCTTTCATGTCATGCTCAGCTGCTCCTTGGAAGTCATATGGAGACAAACTGAAGGAGGACATGAGAGTCCAGGCAGCCCTAAATCTGTAATTCCCAGTGTTTCACTAAATTGTATTTATGCATGACACTGTGGCTATTTTTTCAGACTGGTAGCAGTATCCCATCGTAGGCCAGAACTGCATTTTATTTGTATTTTTTTGTGTAAACCCTGTGTTTTATGTACAAAACACAAACATAACCACACAGTATCTGGTGAGTGTTTGAGGCACATTTTTATATAGTAGTGTCTGAATACAGCTTGCTTTTCCAGTATCTGGAGAAAAAAAGGCTGATTGTAGTTCTCCTGACCTCAGTTCCCAGCCACATATCACCACATGCTACATGACTGGATCAATGCTACCTTCATTAGTCATGTTGAATAGCTTTTCCCTCTTACCTCTAACCAAAATGGCAACTCTCTTGTCTCAGTGCAGCATGGTAGTTATTGTAGTGTTGTGTTTGGAATTGTATGTTTTGTGATGTGCTTCACATTCCTCAGTTCTTTTGAATGAGATGACCTCCAACCTTGACCAGTGTACCATGCAAGGCAGGAAACGAAGTCTCTTCCACAACAACAGAGTAGGCAGGCTTACCAGGCACGACTTATTTCACTCGTGTTTGGCTAGCGGTTGGTGTTGATTTCCCACCCCAGTGGCATGCCAAGCATATCTCAGTCCTCTGAAAGGGACGACCTCTAACCCAGGCCAGTGTCCCATGTCAGTGATGATGACGGAGACTTGACCCTCTTTCATTCCTGTGACCTTACAGTCCAAACATGCATGAGAAGCCTCAGATGATGACTATGATAATAATATCAGTGTGGGGTTGGTGGTAGTCAAAAAATGCAAATTGGTCATCTTCCTCTTTAATCACAGCAGTTCAGTTTGATGTGACTAAAGCAGTAGGCTTTGCACTTTGTAATTTATCATTCATTATAGTACTTTGAACCCACTCACATACATAATGCTTACCATTTGGTGGGAAATGTTGTTCAAATGGCCACGAAGTACCATCAATGTCATGCTGCTAATGGACTACACTAGTGTTCAAACAGTTCACATCATTGCCTGATGATAAAGGACAGAGTGAAGAGCATTATATTCCACATCATGACCTTTTAGGTTCACCAGTATGACATTATTCTCTTACCACACAGTCCCAACAATGAATGTCCTGCTCCCTGTCAAAGTGCCAGCTGTGCTGAAACAGCCCTGCTTCATTGTCACCCATTCAAACTGCAGAGTAGGACCAAATGTGAAAATGAGCGTGTTGTCCAAATCACTCGACTCTGTTGGAACTGTACTGCGTTTTCTGTAGTTTCATCAGACTGCTGAATCTTAACTTAAAAGTTAAGTTGCTCATTCTTTACATCACAGTTATAAAAGTTGAAATTTTTGGGACGTACCCATTGGACTCAATGAGTGATGCTAATGATGCTAATGAGCCATTTCCAGACCAGCTGAGGGACAGATGCTGAATAACTTTAAAAGACCGTAGCCAAGATTAATGTCATCATCATTTATATTTTATGGAAGACAGTCACTGCTGAAATTACTGCTTGCAATGAACACACACATTTCAGCTTGAGCAACTAATGTAGAACATAAGTGGAATATGATACTGCAAGTAAGCCTAATGGTTAAAGAGATTCCCTCATAGGGCTGTCGCGGTGAAGTAATTTCCACCGCGGCAATATGTTGGGGCTCAAAAGTGCGGTATGCGGTATTATTGCATTTTTCATCAATGAAGTAATTTGGTGCCCTATAGCAGAGTAAGAGTGTCTGTATCTGTCACCTCACTGCACAGCGAGCCGCTAACAGCAGCTTTATGCAGTCTGAGCAAGCTAGCTGCTGTGTGCACACGCGTGCGCGCCGGTGTGGAGCAGAATGGCTGTCCACAACTAACCACTGCACTGTAGTAACGTTAACGTTATAACTAAATTTCCACAGAAAGCAACATGAAAAACAGCTGCAGGCTTCCGACACACTACGCTCCTTAGTTAGTGAGATTCAAATGATGCTTACTGTCCACAGTTTCTCTGGACTGTCCCTCAGGATCACGTTAGTCCAACATCGCCGAGCGTGCTAGCCACAATAGCCGCGCAGTATGCTAACGGCAAGTTAGCTAACCTTTCAAATAAACAGTAAAACAACATAAAACATGGTAACACTTAGAGCTTCAGAGTGTGAAGTTGGGTCACGTACAGCCCATGGCAATCCATCCTTGAACCGTTACCATATTGGTCAAGCCTACCGTGTAAGATGGCAAGCACCACAACAACTACGATGTTCATACTTCAGGGTGTGTTAAATTAATTTTAATTAATTTTGCGGTTATCGCGACAGCCCTATTCCCTCATAACTGTATGATTTGATTAGAAAAACATGTCACAGTGATATGTGATGTGCTTTATCTAATATAGCAATGCACAGTATCATACGCATTTACAGAATCAATAATCATACCAATTATATCAGTACTCAAACTTTGAAATATAATAATAATTATTATTAGTTAGTAATTTCGGGATGAAGTACACATGAAGTAGTATCAGTATAATCGGACACTGGATCAGTTGTTTGTCCTCTTAACAATGATCAAGCTTGCACAGTCTTGAGCGTTTCATTATTCACTGTGTGGGTGAACAAGTTCAATTGAAATTAATTAAATATGTCCAAGACCATCTACAGTATATATCTGTTAAAGTGACACTTCAGCCCGGCCAGGTTTAGCTTTAGCATAAACTATAATTCTAGGTTCATGTAATGGATCATTTGCCAAAAGTAATTTTGCTCCAACTGTGATCACAAGATGAAGCTAAGTTATTGGGATTTTCCTTTCAAACGGTGTCATGCAGCCTTGTGAAAACCTACAGGAAACCATTCTGCTATGGTTTACTGATTTGGACCACATGTTTGTTTTCACTTTAGCCTCTGCTCTACAGTTAATAAACCACCCATTTATCCCTGGAAATGCTGAGTCTTTTTCACAGCTTGCTGAATGTCCGGTGAAGTTCTTCAACCTGAAAAAATTCCTTTTAATATCACATACACCACTCACTCATCCCTGAAATCAACAGATGGACTGCTTTGATGTCTTGGCTTCTTATAAACTTTCTTTTTTATCATCAGGAGATTATTCTAGTCTGGTAAGGGGGGAGACGATGGAAAATAACCACAATCCCTGTTCTGAGAGCACTGGCTTGCTCTATATCAATATTGATGGAAATTTAGCCTGCTTCCTTTTGTCTACAATGCTTCAGGGAATTTTACTGTAGCCCAGTAAGCTTACTTAGGCAATACCTTTGGGTGGGTAGGCCTGTGTATTCTATGGACAAAAAACAACAATGAATGGCTGTGTAGTTCTGCTAGGATAGGGGTGCCTCATGTAGATAGTTTAGTGTGTGTGTGTGTGTGTGTGTGTTAGTCTGCGTGTTCATGTTGGGAAAGGCCTCTGCCTAAGCCTACTCAGACAAGGAATAGAGTAAATGAGCATGTTTCCTGATCATCATACTATTTGTTTATTCTTTCTTTCATACATAAATTAAGAAATCACAAAAGTGAAATTCAGTCTAATGCATTAAATCCAATTCTTACTGCATTATCATGCAATTCTCAATCTAATGTCTTCATGCTTGTGTGTTTTGTTTCTCTTTTTGTATGCATGTCACTGCAGGAATGTTGAGTGGATGCAGGCAGTATTGATGTGCATTGTGTTGTGGTTGTATGAGTTCTTATGTGGGTGGTGTATACTTAACTGCTCTGGCTCACAGCAAACTGCTCTCATAACATCAGATACTCCTGCTCAGCCATTTACATTTGCTTCAGGCCTCAGCTGTCAAGCCTGCAATTTGCCCTGCATTAATGGTTATAAGATGAGAAATACTGTTGACACTTTTAGAAAACAAGAAGAGATTGCAGGTCAAGGTCTTGTTTCAATAAAACACTGTTAATTGCAGTAGTAAACAAAGGTGAGGGCAAAGTATTTATTATAATGAATTGTTTTTTTGGAGATCTTGTCTAACTCTTAACAGGGACCTGAGTAACAAGTCAATCTGAAAGCCTTCTGTTTTTAATGTATAAAGGATTCGCATACAATCCCCTTTTTGCTACTACTAAAACACATAGTTACAGAAACTAGGAAAAGAAAAGAAACTTATTTTGACAGTAAGACTTTGATTATGAAATGCTTTTCATTTGAGGTGAAAAATGTAAACCATTAGAGTAGTGTCAAAATATGGCCCCTAGTCCTTGGCTACACACTTGCACTGAGAGATTTATTCTACAGTGACGCTTTAATACTCTATGTTGAACTTAGTTTTATTGATACAATCAGGAAAGTTGGCACATCGAATGCCAAAGATGCCTCAGGGTGTGTCTGTGTGTGTCTGTGTGTGTCTGTGTCTCACCGTATTTCTTTGTTCTTTCCCAATTCACAGCAGAAAGGTCCAAGTTACAGGTTCGGAGTTCCAGTGCCATCCGGCGGACATCCTCCCTTGATGCCATCACGGGGCCATACCTCACTGGCCAGTGGCCTCGGGACTCACATGGACCCTACCCTTCCTGCATGAAAGACAAAGCCACACAGGTACCAATCAGTTTGTTATAGGCCTGAACAATGGTGGGCCATATCATATTATTTATATATAGAGTTGCAAAGTAGGAAGAGCTGCTTTTGTTTATGTATTGATCACCACTTTTAATCATTCAACTTCGTTCCTGAGAAGTTTGTTTGATGGACATGTTTTGTCCATCATTTTGGTGGACAGGTCTAAATGCGAGAATACAATGAGATGAAGCCAGTAAGAAGCGCAAATCAGAGTGGTAGTGAATTCGAAACGCTTTGTCGTTTAATTTGTGAACAAAACACAGCACTATAGTTGCATAGCTAAATTCATCTAAAGTTTAACTCGGTGTTTGGATGTTTCTTGCCAAAATGTATCTTGGGAGTTGTAGTTAACTTCTCCCCTGACATTTTTATGTACACAGTCCTGTATATTTGACTTTTTATCAATGGACCAGATGTTGTCTAACACAGTAATTCATCTTTGTGCTGATTATTTAACCAGCAGTTTCATGCCAGTCCAAGTCATAGAAGTGCTCCAACTGTGAGTCTCGTAACATTGACTATGGAAAAAATGAAAGGGACTTTTCCTTCCAGAATTAGGGGTGCCTGAAAGTCTATTTCGGTGTAAAGTATTTTGTGATTTAAACATTTTTCACAATTTTAACAATATTACGACTTGTTATATATTTACATGTACATGTTTATGTACAGCAGCAACATATGGCTGAATGTGGTTGGTTCCAAAAATGGATCAACTTTGTTGGTATATAGATGGCTTGATGATGCTAGATATGGGGTTCCCTGGTAGTGAAATGGTTATGATGCATACTACTTGACCGAAGGGTCCATTGTGATATGTCTGATTTAGCTCAACAGGTGACGGTGATTGAATGATTTGTCACATTGTGCATTTGCTTTGTGGTAATTAATCAGAGAAGCAAGTTGCAATGTCAGGGGGAAAAAAGGAAACCTTCAGAGTTTTTACAAGTTTGGTTTTTACAAGTAAATGTCTTTTTCAGTCATATTCAGGAGGGGATGTGTGAGGAAAATGCTCACTGCAAGAAACACCAGGCTTTGTTTAATAATCATGAACTAGAAGTGTTTTACCTTGTTGAATTGGTTCAAAGTTTGACATCGCAGAAAAATACCTTTAAAATATTGTAATATTATTTTAAGGCCATATGGCCCACACATAGGCCAAAGTGCCTGGCAAATCCCCACTTTTACCTTTCTCCAAGGCAATTATGGTAGTTAGGACTTCCAAATAAATGTTGGTTTCTGTTGTACTGGCTGGCAAATCTACAACTCGTTGCCAAAGATTTTGTTATAGTAATCTGGTGGTGGAGTCTGCTGCCAGTATAGGCCTAATATTTTGCTGAAAATATTCTGATATTTTGTCATAGCACTATATTTATTACATTATAACACTTCATAAGGCCTATGTATGGATTTCACATTGAGCCAGACCACAGTATTTCTGAAAAAGTAGCCCACACATGATCCATCAGTAATCTTGTCATGTGACTGATGTCTAAATGCATTTTTTCTCTTGAGAGCTTAATTTCTGGGGGGGGGTTGGTTGGGTTTGTACTAAGAAAGAATATTGACTATGTATGATCATGACAAGGGCTGCCCCCTCTTTTCTAACAGAAGCCTTTCATGTTTCTGAATGAAAACCACCAAGCCTCATTTACATGGGCTTCGTCCCTTTAACCCCTCATTTGCCTAGCATTTCTTTGTGTGTAGGCTGAGGAAGTGGTGAGAGGGCCTTGCAAGGTCTCTTGCAAGTGGCTGTATGCAGAGTAAACACCTCTAATCACAGGGTTCCTGTGCAGCCCTGGAAAGACTGGACAAGTATGGAAAATCAATTTGAAAATTATCAGATCTTGAAAAATGTTATTGCCCCAAAATGTCTGGGCACATATACACAGCAATCTTGTAGACATACTGTTTTTTTGCACATTGTGATATTTGCTTGAGCTATTATAGTGCAATGGCCTTGACCACATTTCCCAGCCATTATGAGCAAGTATCTGATTGAAGGCTGACCAAAATGATAATCCAGTTAAGAGATTTATGTCTGTCAAAGCTGTAGATATTTGAGATGGAAAACATTTGGCTATGTTGTAACGATGTGGGAGAGTGTGACACACTTGACAGTTGAACGATTAAATGCACAAACTCCCCCAAGGATAGTCAGGGACCACTTCCTGTTAACAAGCTATGCCTGGGTCCAGCTCTTTTTAAAAGACAACAGCAGCAGAAAGCAGCAGACAAAAGGTCCCTGGCTTCTTTTGTTGTGCATGGCACAAGTTCAAGACAGCCTCTCCTTTGAGCTGTAATGTAGCCTTGCATGGAGGTGAAGTTGTTTGCACCTGTCCCTCAGGCTATGGCTGAGGCGAGGAGAAATCCCACTGCTTACCACCTGGCCCTCGTGGCTGCACAGCCTGCCTGCCTTTTGTGTGGGAGTTGAGGAGCAGAGGGCCCATACATATGCTAATCACTGTTCCGGGATAGGTCTGTGTGCCCTAGGCCCTGTGGTTACAGAACACAGAGAACGTCTGTATGAAGATTAGGGCCCTGACACACCAAGCCGACCTTAAAGAACTAGCACTGACAAAGGCAGACTGATCAAACAGTTTGCATTGCCTCGCTTCTTATACAGCCGATGGCCAGCTAACCGCTGACATGCATGTACGTTCTGCGCCTGCGTGAGAGGAAATAACTAATCAGCAGTCTGTATTTGTAATCTGAAAAACATAACAGAAAGACAAACAAAAAAGTTAGCCTTCTGTTAATCATGCCATGAATTGAATATGGAATGTAAAGTAGTAAGTTTACTGGCAGTAAAGCAAAGTAAGCAAAGCTTAAAACCACTGGTGCCAAACACAAGTCACAAATACTTAAAGAAGGCCTGCCATTGCCGGACTTCATATGAGCTCAATGTGAACTGATTTGGATGTTGTAGGTTATCGGTTTGTCTGATTATGAATGAAAGCAGTTTGAAGCAAGAACAGACAACAAATGTGCAGTCTTAGAGGCATTTATTCATTTTCTGCAATACTCAGTGAGTTTCAGACATATGCAAGATAACAGATACAGAAACTCACCAAATCAGAATGCATTATTCTCCGCATCTCTAAACCCCAGCAAATGATAGCAGTGGTACTCTGCTTGCATGTTTCGGCATGCAATCTAAACAAACCAGCAACAAATTCCACAGCAATTCTGTTGAAGCTCAGTCATTATTTCCTGCTTTGGAACAGAGCTGGATTCTTGAGGATGTTGCCTGCATGTAACCATTTGGGTGGGAATCATAATGGGAAGCAAGCTGCAGGTTACAGTAACAGAGTTTTATTAAGAATTTAAGAACATTATCAGGCACAGCACCTGGCACACAAGTCTACAAAGCACACAAGTCAGGCCAGAAGTTCAAGAGCTAGCATGATAAAAGAGCCTCTGAGGTAAATAAAGATGGATCTTCTTGTTAACAATTTATTCGGGGAACAGAGACAATAAATAAAGATAGCCTGCAGTATTTTTAACCTTCTTGTCTTACTATGGGGGGAAATTATTATTTTTTGGTTACATACGTAGATATCGACCATAAAGAACAATGTGAACTCTGTGACGCCTCTGGCCTGTTGACATCTTTAAACTAATTAGCTTTCTTGAGTGGATTCATCTAGAAAGTCTATTTTGTGTCTGAGTGTTTATAAGCCCACAAGCTGATATTTGTTTAAATGTCTGCTTGAATGCAAACAACTAGGGTACTTACTAGAGGCTAAATTCTCATATTAACTGTTGAACTATTTCTTTTTTGTGCGCATGTACTGAAAGTTGCTTTCATCATTTAACTGTAAGTACACATTTATTATCATTCTTATTTAAATCATATTCAAAAAGATTAATTTGATTTAACTGTGCATTCAGACCAAACTTGAATTTAATCCTTGCTTCACTTGTAATCGCTGGACTACTGCCAAATGTTGACACACAACGCGAATAAACACAACCTGCAATTACTACAGTTGTATGAACCCAAAGTAAACATTTTGCTGTGATTTAGTTGCAATAAACGGTTCAAAATGATGCCAAAGTAACTACAACATGATGCAGAATTCGTGCTTTGTCAGGTTTGACAGCAGGACAACAACTTTTAAAATGTTTGTTTTCTGAATAGAGTTCGATTGATCAGGGCTATGCTATGCTAACATTAAGTGGTTCCCAGTTAGGTACAACAAAAGCTAGATAAAGTAACAGATGTACATTTTCTGAACTCAACAGGTAGTTCAACTTTCTTGCTTTCTTTTCTCCAGGCAATGTCCAGTTTTGTCTTTTTTTTTAAATTTTAATTTAAATTTTTTAATTTTGAAGTAGGGTTGGGCGATCTGGCCAAAAAGTGATATCCCGGTACCGTTAGGCAGAATTCTGGTGTGTGTATATATATATATCTATATTTTCTGCTAAGTGGGCAGAGGTTTTGGCAGGCTTTTTTTTTTAAATTTATTTATTTTTACTATTTTTAGTAACTTGTTTCTTATTTCACCATTTTAATTATACTTCATTCTCCATCTTAAGTATCACTCACTTATTGAATTCGCCTCCTTCAGTTCTCTTCATACTCACAGACCTGACCTCTGCTGCAAACACGCCATTGCCAGAATCAGCTCAACTCGCCTGGACTCTACTGGACTCTGTTTGGCCGTCCTCAAATTCCCATTGCAAGTAGCACCCAGAGATTGCACCCCTCAATGTAGCTGATCGTCATAGCGATGCCACACTCAACTGCCGCAACGTAATGTTCAATGCGACACACACACACACACCAGCGATGCACAAACAGCTGTCTCTTGATTTAAGTTAAAATGTTTCAACATTACTCAGAATGCAAAGACTGAGGAAATACGAAAAAAAAAGTACCTTGTAGCAGATACAAGTACAACAACTTTTACACAATGGACAACCAAAAAAAGGCGAGTAGCGTCGAGGCGAGTCGAGCTGGTACCATGCAGTGGAAAATGGGCTTTATCGTCTCTCTCTCCCTGTATGTTTGCTTTGGTGACTTTCTCCATCAGTAGTAGGCTAGGCTGTATAGTCACCAGGAAAAAAAATACTTTTCCTCCCGTGATTTCGTTCACAGCAGCAGCTGAGCTGCATGTTGAGGTGTGTTGACAACGTAGCCTATCAAAACAAAACCAACGTGGTAGCTAATGAATAACATCTGACTGGTGTGTTCATTGTGACTTTACCTGGTCAGCTCTTGTAAAATATCCACAGTGTTGCGACTTGTAACGTAATCACTGTGTTTCTCTGATAAATGCTACAATGTGTCGCCTAACCTGGGCGGCCCACCGAAGTAAAGTGTATGTGTGGGGAAACACTGAATGAACCGTGTCTTTCTTATTACAAGCCAGGTCTTTCTTCAGTGTCGACCAGCACTGTGTCTCCCTCCATGTTGTTAGAGACTTTGTGAGTAGACGGCTGCAAGGGACAGGCTGCGCAGTGAGGGAGAGAGAGGAGCAAGCAGGAGATTATTTGTTCAAAAGCTGCAGCGCTGCTCCCGGTTCTTTCCTCCACAGCTCCCTCGTTGCTCAAGCAGCTCGCTGTCGGTCAGCGGAGTTTCACTCCCCCACTCTGCCTGGTGCTCTCACTACAGATGAAAATTTTCAACTCTCGCTAGTTGCTTCGCGTCGCCGGCAGCAGGTCCTTCGCACCACCCGAAAGGAAATTGCGCCTCTGCATTGACTTTGTATGTAATCTTGCCGCCCCCGACCCTTGCTTTGTGTTTGATCTGAATGCACAGTAAAGTTCATGAAAATGAGAATGAAGCAACACTTGGAGAGTAAAAGGAAAATATCACTTTTATAACTGAATTTATTGTTGCTGTACCAAAGTGACAATGAACTCCTTCATTTTCTCTTTTGATCAAAATGATTGTGCTTTTCATTTGAACAGTATTGTGCAGCCCTAGTAAAACACATCACTCACTGCCAAATAAAAAGCATTTCACATATCATAGAGTTACATGTAGCGTGTAGCGCTCCCTACTTTACGTCACAGAACATCTGTGAGAACTTAATTTTTCCTCAACAGCTAAGTCCACAACTCCAGAAAGCCTCTCTGCCCTTTTACAGCAATCTGCATTCTGTATGAACAGATTAGGCTGCAGCATTAAGTCCCTCAATGTTTGGCAGAGGCATCAAATAGCACAAGCCATTCCATAGGCCATGCACAAAATGTTAATGCTAAATGCTAGCTACACATCTGCCATCCAGCGTGGCCAAGCACAGTGGTCCTTTTTATGAGAGCACAAGCACTCATTTAATTCGCTGTCCTTTTCTGGGGAAACCAGCGCCAGCAATCCAGGGCAAACAGGTTCACGGGTGTTCCTCATTATTCACAGTGTGATATTCCATATCATAGGGCAAGGCTTGTGCGTTAGTTGGAGAGCCATAGAGGTTTTTCTGTTTGTGAGAGGTCAGACATAAGGCAGTGTGAAGACACTGACATTTAAGATGTTTCGTACTACTGTGACCATAAAACGTCAGACGTTTGAGGATTTGTTTGAGGACCAAAGGCACTGTTGATAAGCATAATCAGGGGGAAGTATGTGGTTTCAGACAACCCTATGAAACATCCTCAGTCTGTTTCTTTTCTTTTTTTGCATATATTTACATAACTTAACCGTTTCCTCGTTTATGCAGTAGAGGTCTAAAAGACACATTCAGTGAGACAGAACTGCCTCTGTGCTTTCTGGTAGGGAATGTTTTGTATATCAGATGTTTTATTACTGGTGTACTAACGACACAAAATTTCTCTGTAGACTTGTTGACTCAGTATAAGTCTAGCGTTGTGCTGTGCATATTCTGCCAAATCAGTGTACATAGGATAAATTGTACTAATTTGTAGATTAATTTAAAATGCTAAAGGTGGAAACTGGGAAATTAGCTGGTGGGAAAACTAACAGCTGCTAGTAAAGTCCTTGTAAATGTCACCTGTGGCTGACAAGAATCTCCTTGGCAGGTAATCATATATTATTCTGTAGGTTGGTTTAGCCTGTAGAAAAAAAGTTTTATGCCCACAGATGTATTTATCCTTACCCGACTTACTAATGGAAGCAGTCAAATGTGCTTTGACTTTAGTTTTTCCTGTTGAATGTGGTTCTTTCCTTAGGGATGGTATATCATGACTGTTTTGCTCATTTTCATTGATTCCAGATTTGCTGCTCTACTTCTGAGGTCACAGCACTCATTACTGCTTTTACCCACATCTTACTCAACTGCTTATTCAAACATTTAACATTTTAGGTATTTAGTTGATGCTCATATCCTGAGTGACTTCACAATGAGGTGGCACATCAGGTATCCAATGTCTTTATCAGGACATTTCATCAGTTTAAAGGAGAGGTTTTTGTATAAAAATCGTACTTCTCTTGGACTCGTTTACTTAATGTATGTTTGAATATATGTAGGTAAAAGTGTGTGTGTGTGTGTGTGTGTGTGTGTATAAATAAATAATCTCATTTATACATACTGTATCTTAATGAGCTAAATGATGATGAATATAACACTCAACAAGGATCACATCTGTGACCTTTCAGTTATCTGATCTCTATAAACATTATGCTACGTAAACAAATCTCAGAAACTGCAGGTTACTTAATCTTAGCCTTTAAGGGTGTATTCTATTTATATCTTTGCATCCACACAATGGAAACTTGTGTTTATGGTCTTGTGCAGGAGTAAATCATACTTGTCTTTGTGTGCCCATGCAGCACAAAATATGCTATTTGGTCTCCCCAGTATCGTACAATACATTTGAAGCACCTAACAATATCACGAGTTGTGAAAATTATGACTTATAGAACATGTGGTTGTATGTCTGCATGTATTTCTGTGTTTCAGACTCCAGGTCTCTGGATTGAGGAGGGAGCAGAACAGGGTCCTCACCAGCGGTCAGCCTCCTGGGGCAGCGCAGACCACCTCAAAGAGGTAGATTCACCTGTCACAGCTGCTTCTGACAACGAACGCCACAGACAGTGGATTAACACGGGGAGAAGTGTTAGTAGCAATCCTGTCTGACTCTAACCAAGGCCAGACAAGCTTAAACATTCATGAAGCCTGATCAAACATGCATGTTTGTGTCATTTTTGAGGTTTATTCCATTTACTCAAAATGTGTTTTATTTGTCAGGGTTTGAGGTCAACCTAAATATTATGCTTCTTATGCTCGGTTTCCGCTCGTGTCTATCTGCTTGGCTTGGTGGCCAACCAGCTGACCACATGGAGCTATTAGATCTCTAGCTCTCCAGACCACAGTCTAAATTTAACCTACTTCTCCCGTCTGTTTCCCACTCAACTGAACCCTTGCATCTCATTATGGCCTGTTGTTTTTGAGAGACCGTACAGGAGTTCCTCTCAAGGGTGAACGGCCATATTGTTTCCTCTATAGCTGGCACAGAGTGAACTGATTAAAGGGTAACTTATGCTGCTTAGAAACCTTACAGATAGCCATTTATATTTTTCTGTTTCTGGCATAAGACATCTGTGTGTCATTATTTACTTCCAAAATATTAATGGCAGACAGATGTTCTTGGTCTTTTGTTAGTATTGACCAGAAAAAACAAAATACACTTTTACTTTTCAACCAGATGTAAAGACCAGCACACAGAACACATTCTATAAGTAACTTTATGGCCAAAATGCCGAAGATAGAGTTCCTGATAAGTTCAACTACATAATACACAGGTGTGGTTGGTCAATACTGTAACATGTCAAATTGAACAGACTTTACCTTGAAGAATCAAGATGATCAATTTGATTTAATTCACATTACTATTAATTTGCAACAATGAGAAATTAAATAGTTCTTTTATACATAATAAAATTAAACATGGTGTGGATGTAAACTACCATGTAGTCATATTGCACTTTTAAGCAATGCCAACAGATGGAAAGGCCACACAGGAAGAGACACATTTCAATAAAGAGAGATGCACAAAAACTGTGCAAGTGTAAATGTAGCCATACACTATAACTTTTGCGCTCAAGACAAACAAACAAAAAAACTAGATCGATAGTGTATAACTTTATAAAGACAATCACAGGGGGCAATCAATAGCACAGTCACGAAAACCTGTCTTTATCATCCTCTGAGATTACCTCAGGATTGCCTGGACTTGTCATTATCGACCGCTGTGGTCATTCAGTGAATGTAGTGAACGGCATTCTAGTGCTCTTAACCTCTGCAATTACATGTGTGGGAGGGGAGGGGAACTATGAGAAAAGCAAGTATCTTTGTTGACTGTGTTGCCAGGATTACAAGATCAGCATTGAAGACCACACCTTTGTCTGCATAGTACAACTATGTCTGTTTGGCTCACAAAGGGTATCCTATCTTTAGGCTGATACTGGGCCAAATGCAGAAACACCCATTGACCTAATTTGTTACATGACCAGATATACATAAGAGCTAATATGCTTACAACCTTCTGGCTCCATTCATTTCACTGAAAGTGAAAATTCACATGTTGAAATATTGCCTTCATGACTAGATTGTGATCTGTCATTTGCTGAAGTGATGTTACTTTTCTTCCAGCAGATTGCTAAACTGAGACTGCAGCTGCAGCGCAGCAAACAGGTCAGCCGACAGAGCAAAGACAGGGAGCAGTGCTCACTGCAGCTTTCACAACAGCCTCAGCATGGCATTGCATGCCAATCACAGGTGAGAAATTGTCAGTATTTATGCCTTGACAAACTGAGTCACTAACGTGCTCTTTTCAGGTGAAAACATTAACTAACTCTGACTTTGGCGATATAAGATTTTACCCTGACAGCAATGTAGCCAAGTAAAAAACATACAAGTGACGGTCACCAACCCATATCATAGCTGCTGAGGATAAGAAAAGTTAATATGAAAATACCAGAGTAAAAGTGCCTGTATATTTTATGCCATGTTCTTTTAGACTTGTTGGTGTATATTTGATCATAATCAAAGTTTATGATGTATGTTGCGACTGGGTCTAGTTAATGAGTCCCCATTCTTGTGTTGAAAGAAGAGAGGATAGAGGGAATGTGTCTGGGCATGCCCTGTTCTCTCCTTGGTTGCAGTTCATTCATTAACATATGCCCAGCAACAGTACACATCCACCACTGTGGGAAAATTAACATAAACAGTAATATGCAATGCCTTACACCAAACTATGGTAGATCACAATCTTGGCTGTGTTTTTGTTCCCTGTGACATGTAATCCCACTTCAGTAACATGTATTTAAACTGAACGCCTCCACCCATCAAATTTCTCATGAAACTGGATCAGTGTCAATTCAGTACTGCAAGCAGATCCTTGTGTCACACAGTGAGACATAACGCAGTATTGTGTATTTAATGGCACAATTGAACTGGATGTCTTTCGGTGTGTGGTGAAGAGCATATTTGAGTAGATCTTATTTTGATGTATACATAATTTTGTCTTTCCAGTACAAGGGAACTTCATCAGCCTTGTTGGCAATGCCTGTGCCAAAATCTTTCATATGCAGAGTGCCGAGCAGTGTGGAGGGCATCAACCACGAGCTAGAAAATGTGTTTATCAGAGAAGACTGGCAACAGGGGATACAGGTAGGGATGTGTACTCACACAAACCATGGGTCAAGCTGTTTTTTGAAGAAAGTTATCAAAGTGCTTGTTGGATTGCGTGTGTGTGTGTGTGTGTGTGTATCACATACTACAAGTTTAATTTGCCAATTAAGTGTATTAATAAAATACAATGCAGCTAATTAAAAATGAGCCACACACAGTATATTGCCTACACGGTTTGTTATCTGGTTAATGTATTAGGAAATTGCTACAAGTATGTAACCCAAATTTAGGATTCGTCTGGTGTGAGTACAGGAGCAAAAATCCAGTCTGTGATCCAAATGTAATCAAAAACACATCACTATCAAAACCAAAACACAGGATTGGAGCTTGCCATCAGTCTAAATTGATTCACTGTCTTTTAAGATGGAGACTAAAGGACTACACACAGGCAGTGTATAATGCATGCCAAACACCCACACCCAAATAGATTTTTAAACTCTGCTTAAAATGTATTGCTTGCTAACATAGTCTTGTAAAGTCACTTGCAGCATTGTGCATCATAGTGTCAGACAGCATATATTCTGACTCACACCGAATTAAATGGTTTTCAGGCAAGGGGGCATGTAATTCTTGTCTGATGTGGAGTCATAAACCTTGGCAGGTCTCTAAAGCTCCCCTCTAAGAAAGTCTCAGATGCACACACACTTTAAACATACACACCACTACAGATTTACAGCCGGCTACGCACCAAGTCTATTTTTTATTATTTTTTTATTCCTGCTCTCTCATTTGAATCAGCTGTGCCAAAGCTGCACATCACACTGTTCATCTTCTTTCAAGTATTACCATCTGGTGTGGTGTTTGCTTCTCCAGCTGCCCTTTAAACAGACAGACAAACACACTAGAGGCTTTTCAATTCCAGTCATTCTTAGATTTAGGACATTTTTAGCTAATGCTCATAACCCGGAGTGACATCGTCCATTGAGTGAGCAGGTACACACAATTTAGTTGCACAGGAAAGGTTTTTCAGTTCAAATGGGATTTTTCAAGAACACATTGGCTGTTGTGGGTGATTGAATGTGACCTTTCGAGTTATAATTCTCTGTAAACGCAAAGCACCACCACTCTGCCGTTTTTAGGATCCATGTATGTTAACGCACGACCTCTTACCACCTTTGATCTTACAGGCCATGGATGTGGTAGATGGCCGCCGCGCCCCTTTCCCTCCACATCACTACAATAACAGTGGGGACACACGTGACACAGACACACAGGCCCCTTCAAGCGGTGACTCCAGCCCGTTGCCTCGCCCCTGTAGCTCTGATCATCTTCACTCCCCCGACGGAAGCCCCTGTTCTGCAGAGGAAATCGACAAAGGTGTGCCTTGTTTGACAGATGCAACTTTAGTGTTCAGTGCATTAAAGAAGAACTCTACCAACTTTACACATCTAAGTCTGTTTATGGGTCTTTGGGGGTTTGCATAAAGAGTTGAATAAAGTCTCCAGAGGGAGCTGCGCAGAATCTGGTAAATTACCTCAAATGATGTTACTTGAGCAAGCGTTGGTTAGGGGTGTGAGTGCACAGAATGAGGCACACCCAAGCTTTCTTAAATAAATTATTAAAAAACACTATATGTAAGGTTTTCCACTGCAAATACAGTGAGGAAAATAAGTATTTGAACACCCTGCTATTTTGCAAGCTCTCCCACTTCATGGAGGGGTCTGAAATTGTCATCGTAGGTGCATGTCCACTGTGAGAGACATAATCTAAAAATAAAATAAAATCCAGAAATCACAATGTATGATTTTTTAACTATTTGTATGATACAGCTGCAAATAAGTATTTGAACACCTGAGAAAATCAATGTTAATATTTGGTACAGTAGCCTTTGTTTGCAATTACAGAGGTCAAACGTTTCCTGTAGTTTTTCACCAGGTTTGCACACACTGCAGGAGGGATTTTGGCCCACTCCTCCACACAGATCTTCTCTAGATCAGTCAGGTTTCTGGGCTGTCGCTGAGAAACACGGAGTTTGAGCTCCCTCCAAAGATTCTCTATTGGGTTTAGGTCTGGAGACTGGCTAGGCCACGCCAGAACCTTGATATGCAGTCGCCCTGTCCCATGTGCAGAAAAACACCCCCAAAGCATGATGTTACCACCCCCATGCTTCACAGTAGGGATGCTGTTCTTGGGATGGTACTCAATTCTTCTTCCTCCAAACACGGTTGGTGGAATTATGACCAAAAAGTTCTATTTTGGTCTCATCTGACCACATGACTTTCTCCCATGACTCCTCTGGATCATCCAAATGGTCATTGGCAAACTGAAGACGGGCCTTGACATGTGCTGGTTTAAGCAGGGGAACCTTCCGTGCCATGCGTGATTTCAAACCATGACGTCTTAGTGTATTACCAACAGTAACCTTGGAAACGGTGGTCCCAGCTCTTCTCAGGTCATTGACCAGCTCCTCCCGTGTAGTTCTGGGCTGATTTCTCACCTTTCTTAGGATCATTGAGACCCCACGAGGTGAGATCTTGCATGGAGCCCCAGTCCGAGGGAGATTGACAGTCATGTTTAGCTTCTTCCATTTTCTAATGATTGCTCCAACAGTGGACCTTTTTTCACCAAGCTGCTTGGCAATTTCCCCGTAGCCCTTTCCAGCCTTGTGGAGGTGTAACATGTTGTCTCTAGTGTCTTTGGACAGCTCTTTGGTCTTGGCCATGTTAGTAGTTGGATTCTTACTGATTGTATGGGGTGGACAGGTGTCTTTATGCAGCTAACGACCTCAAACAGGTGCATCTAATTTAGGATAATAAATGGAGTGGAGGTGGACATTTTGAAGGCAGACTAACAGGTCTTTGAGAGTCACAATTCTAGTTGATAGACAGGTGTTCAAATACTTATTTGCAGCTGTATCATACAAATAAATGTTAAAAAATCATACATTGTGATTTCTGGATTTATTTTTTTTTTAGATTATGTCTCTCACAGTGGACATGCACCTACGATGACAATTTCAGACCCCTCCATGATTTCTAAGTGGGAGAACTTGCAAAATAGCAGGGTGTTCAAATACTTATTTTCCTCACTGAATTTTAATTGCAAAGTACCTTGTGACAAACTAACTAAACAATATGTAAAGCTCAATTGCTTCACATTGTGTTAAAACAAACAACAGAATATATAAACAGTGAAGAATACAAATGAGGCCCCCTTTCCTGAGAAATATGCTTTGCTGACCTGCCCTTCTTCAACCTTTCTGTGTTTGCTATCAGTTCTCACCTGTTGCTTCTGCCCTAGCTGGCTCTCCCAGCATGTTTGCGCCTGTCCTCCTCCTATTCTTTCCTGACCCTTTCTTGCTGCTTCAGCTGCCACAGCAGCACCTAACAGTATTCAGAAGAAATTAATTGGATAGCTAGTCACACTGGTCGAACTGTTCTGCTTTCCCGTTTGTTTTCCTCAGTTTCTAGGTACTTTGTTCTGCTAACAATCTGGTCCAGGCTATCTTTGTGCCTCCCTACAGCAAGCCTTTTTGGTTAGGTACTGAAAGCTGGCATCAAATCCAGTCAGACTGTTTTTGATTTAAATAATAACTTTTGCATGGAGCCAGTTTTGCATGGATAGTATTTTATTACGGCAGCTTTTGTTTAATTGGTTAGAAGTTTAGCTTCTTTTGTGGGTTGAGCAAAAAACGGGTTTTGTAGTATGTTTATATACCATAAAGGAAAGTCCTGGAAAAAAATATTGATTTAGTATCAGTACGAAAAACGTGAGTATTGTATTAGCAGCAAACTTTCAAATGAAAATTTTAAGCACAATGCAGCTCCTAAGAATCAATAACCAATGTTAATTTTTCTTTGCTTTTGTCTCATTAAAACTACAATAACATGTCATCATCTTTACTATATTTCCAGACAGCGTGTGCAATTCTCCTCTCCCAAAGTTTGCCACTTCTCCCAAACCTAACAACAGCTACATGTTCAAACGAGAACCTCCAGAGGGGTGTGAGAAGGTCAGAGTGTTCGAGGAGATGGTGTAAGTATTTTTTTCATTTTGTTTTTAAATGTACTCTCATATTTGACACTTTGCACCGGCATAGTTCTTCTGTCTGTCACAGAGTGAACTGATCATTAAAATAAAAACAGATACAGTACTGTACTATTTCATGGACTCTACAATCCTGTTAGTGGACAATACAACAAAGCTAACGAGTTTATTTGCATTGTGGGGGGCAGGGATCGGGCCAAATGGCTTTGTAGGATAAACAAGTTGCATTTAATCAAAATAGTCATGTAAATAGAAAATAACAAGCATAAATACTGAGCTCAATTTTTTTGTCTTCAGGTCGGGCAAATCAAAAGGCTTCCCTCTCTTTTCGTGCCCTGACAAAAACAAGGTGAACTTCATTCCCAGGGGCTCTGCCTTCTGCCCTGTCAAACTCCTCTGCTCCTCCCTCTTCTCCCCCGTCTCATCCTGCTCCTCCACCAACCCTGGTCTCCATAGCAACGACAGCCCAGGGCCTCAGGTGACCTCGACTCTGCCCACTGCACCACAGGCTACCTTTCTGGCCTCCGCTGACTGGAGCACCCACGCAAGCACAGGCGTAAACACAGAAAACAGCACAGACAGCCAGAGCCCCGACGCAGATGTTGGAAAGGATGGCTCAGCACAAGTACTCCTCACCAGCTAGTCCTCAGGTATTCATGAAACCACCCACAGCTTAAAAAAATCATCTAGTCAAGTGGTATGGGTTTTAAACAAACAAAAAACACAAAAACTACAAAAAAAAATCCTTGCACTCCGTTAATCCTAACGTTAGCCAGCAGGGAGTGCCCAAGGTCTAGAAATTACAAACATGTAGGAGGATGATAATAGCAGCATCCTGCTGCACAAGCATTTTTGCTCTGTCCCAGTGTTGTTCCCGCTGTTGGTGAACTCTGTTTCATCAAGAAAACTTTATGGCTTGATCATTAAGAGTGTACTGACCTTGGGCACAGCTTCCCTTCACCCATCACTAACCTAGCCTTCTCCTCTGTACCGTGATAACACCCATAACAAAATAGCTTTGCTTTCTTTTACAAAAAATAGAAATTTCTGCTCAAATTATTTTGTTGTGTAGCGCCTGCAGTTTTACAAAGATTAAATTAAAAATGAAAAATCTTTGACAAAAGACAACTATGAGGTATCAGAGAAACACATTATACTCATGTTATCTAACCAGCTTATTAGCTGTTCAGTAAGCTAGCACCTAAAGTACATTTACTTTAGCTTTTTGACAGGATAGGAAATGGTTGATTCATATTTAAAAAATATCAGGCTGTCTTACATTCAGAATACATTGCCTGACTTTAACCACAATGTTTGTGCTTGTTAAGACCTGGCTCAGAATGATGTAAGCTGTGGCCTATAATGTCTGTTTATTTTTTTTCTAGCACAGTGTCTATGTAAAACCAACAGCTGCTTCAATGCAGGATCCACCCAACAAGCCTACAAGCCAAACCTAGATATGCATTTCTAGTCTGATCACTATTAAACACATGGTTAGCTCAACACAAACTGCAAATCAGCTTCTTTTTTTCCAGTGACCAAATAACCAATGATAAAGCACACAACATTCCCATTCCCTTGTTTTATTGCCCCACACTACACAGAACAGTAACTCAGGTCATGTGGAATGTACTTGCTTGGACTATGTTGCCTTTCCCCAGTGTTGATGACTTTCTTTTATAGAAAGACATTCCAGTCGTTTGCATATATGTTATATTTTCTTCCCTGGAGAGGGAGATTATTACGGACTGAATCAACTGATTGATGTCACAGCTTGTGACAGTTAACTTTTGCATTAACCTGTTCAGGTTAGAATTTCAGGTGCTATGACACATTCCAGAAATCACGGTTGCATTGGTCAACCGTGATTACTCATGTAAACGCAACTAGCTACATAAGCTACACCCTCCTGAATTGAGAAGTTGACAAATATGTTGTTTGTTCCACCCCTTTGTTAAATATGTACCAAAGCAAATTTAAAAAACAATGAAAGGCCTGTCATGTATTAGGGACAAAAGAGGCACCGTTTTTGTGCCAGAAGCAGAATGTTTATGTGCACTTTGTTTTGTTTATTAACAATTCAGCGAAAAATAAACACTGTTCAGAGTGTTTCAAACACAGTCGATAATCGTTAAACCAAGTTTAAGCACTTACTTGGGAGTGAGACTATAATCACTATTTTTATTTTAGACCAATTTGTAAGTTAAAACAATCAGAACTTGAGTTTGCAATTGATTTTTGTTTGAAGTAAAGCTACACTAACAGTTTTTGTGTAACACAGTTGGGCTCAATATTCAGAACCAACCAGATGTGCCCTGACATTATCTGCACACTGCAAGTTGTCACAAGAACATACAGAACGAAAAAACCCCACAACTGATTTAGCAAACTAGGAAATGTTTCATTCCAAAATGTTGGTCTATCCAGCCACTTGCACACAGAAACACAAATCTGAACAATATGCAACACATTCCACACAAATTTAATTTGAAATACTCTTTTCTGCTTGTAGCTCCAAGAGTTTCAATCATACTAATTCTGATTTTATTCACAAGCTTATTGTGCAGTGCAGTTACGAAATGGTTGCCATGTTTGGCAATGATGAATCAGTTCTCCTGTGTATTACGCATTTTTATGTAGATCTTGTGTGTTTTTGAATAAAGAAAACAAAAACTCTTTTTGGATTGGTATGTAATCTTTTCAAAGGCCATACATAAACACATCGACTAACATTATCAGTATTCAGAAGCATTTATATACAAATAGGAGTCGAGGTAAGGCAATCGATGTATTTGGTTATGATTTTAAATATTAACAGATCAACATCAAAATTGACACAAGGCAAAGTTACAACAAAATAAATTTGCAGTCCATTGTAATATACTGTGTAAGGAATCCAATAATTATGAGGTGCTATATTGTTGACTTGTGTTTCAGATTAAGGCATGTACTTAGAGGTGTGTGTGTGTGTGTGTGTGTGTGTGTGTGTGCGCGCGCGCGCAGCATTGTTGTCAATCAGTAGAATATGATTGTATTTTCTTGATTATCAAACTATCCAGTTAGTTCGGCTCTGAACACAATACACTGCAAATGTTGCCCATGAAAGCCAATGACTAAATAAATACATGTCCAAATGAAGAGAATAAAAAAGACTGATCATTCAATCACACTGGATGACATAAAACGAGGCATGCATCATGCAATAATAAATGAGTGATGTGTGCATTTTTACTTCTGGAATATATGCAAAGGGGATCACAAATATATACAGCATGTAGCAAACAAATTTTAATCTTAAAAAGGAAACCCATTTTCTGTCTGAAGAAAGAAACAACTTCAAGATGTACCTAGTTCACAAAATGTGGTCTGAAATAGTTTCCAATAATTCTGATCAGTTAACTGCTTGAAGTGTGTAACAGATGGATGGCAGAAAAATGTACTTTATTTTTATATATCTCTGACTGCATAAACTTTGCTTCACTCAACATGTTACAGTATTTTGTAAACACATCAACTATTGCACCTTGATCTTTGTCAAGTTTGCTTTCTTTCCACTGTTGTATCTCACAACGTAGCTCTGCCTGTCTGCGGTCTTCAGTAATCAGAAATAAAGCATGAATGCTACTAGAGACTACAGTTTTCCAAGGCAGCTAATGTCAAAGGCTTTTTGTTCCAAACTCATACTGAGGTATCCATGCTAAACATTAAACGTTTAACTGAGTGAAATAGCCAACAGGCTTAATAAAGTTGTCTTGTAAATGTTTTCCTTTCACAGTGGAAAGGACGAGAGCTGGTAGCTGTTAGTGGGACACTTGCAGCAGCGTAATACTGCCACCATGAGAAAAAAAATCTGATCAATTTCTTGTAAGGACAGAAAAATGTCTCTTGTTATAACAATCATCTCATTATGTCTCATGATGGGTATTAAGAAACGTTAATGATCTGAAATTATATTATTATAACATACCAGCCTTGTTTGTTTAGTTTCTTGTTATTACATTTCAGTGTATCTTTTAATAATACGAAGCATGACAAGTAACATGCACATTGTCATTATAATAAAGGGAACTTTTTGCATATTGTTATAACAAGAAAAAGATCCAGTTAGGGCTCTAGTTACTGATTACGTGAAAATGCCAATTATAATTTCCATGATGATGTCTAGAATTTGCTTGATTTTCTGATCAACAGTCCAAAACCCAAAGATGTTCAGTTTACTGCCATATATGATATAAAAAAAATAAAAAATGTGGAACCAGCTTTACATCTAATGTTTTTGCTTGAAAAATAACCAGTGGTGCAGAGTTACTAAACTTAAGTAACAGTGCTCAACAGAGTAGTAGGGCCACATTAAGGGGGAAAAAAAAAAACAAGGACAGATTTATTTATTTATGCTTTTCAAGAATAAATTGGGAATGTCGTGAATGTTGCCATGCACTATTGACAAAAAAATATATATATACTATCAACAAATAATTTATGACGTATTATTATGGGGAAACTTTATTGATTCATTGAAGCTACTTAGTCGTATCTAAAGTAATTAATGTTGCAGCTGGTAAATATGGGGCTAATTTTGAAGTGATGTACACATTAATCTATCAATAATTATAATCCGATAATGTACATTATTCTGAAAGGGTGTAAGCATATTTTTATGCTAATACTTCTGTACTTTTACTTGAGTAAAAATTTTTAGTACTTCTTCCGCCACTGGAAATAACTTGACTAACTGACTAATTGTTTAAGCTCTGTATCTAGTTGAAGTTTAAAGAAAAGACATTAGTGTGTGTGTGGCTGGTCAGATTTGTCTCTGGTCACGGTGGCAGCTACATCCTGCCGTGGCCCACGAACAAAGGTACCCATTTAAAGATCACCGTGATACTGAGGAAGAAACTAAGCGTTGTGAAGTTCGTGTTCTGTGTCAGTTTTGCCGACTGCATCAGGATTGGAGAGGGGGTCCAAGTCAGCAAACAGGTTGAACCACGCTGAGAGGTCTTTGGACGTTCCTGTTGTCTCTGTAAAAAGAGTTAACAAAGGGTAATGTCACTCAAGACACACTGCTGTACATTTACTAAAGCCACGGTGAAAATAGAAACCCCTCCCTTTGTTCTGTAAAAGACTACATCTGGCTGAGGTCCAAAATTATGAATGGAAACAACCCACAAGGTTTCTGAAAGTACTCATAAACATAGGTTTCAGTTTGACATGTCTCTTTGAATGAGTTAGTCTTTTTCTTTCAAGTCTTTTCATATGTTTTACTCATTTGGCCCGCTCCTACCTTTCACTGCTGGTTTAGAAGGTTTCTGATTGGCTCCAGATGAGTGCTGTGTTGCTTGGGCGACGGGCTGTGGAATGACCCTGGCCCAATCTGAAATGGAGACACAGGTTTAGATTAATCAACAGGGGACCCTTAACGTGCCAAAGAATGATTCAACAAATAAATCCTCACACACTCTCGCACACTGCTGATTGTGTAATATATACACAAACAGCAGTGATCAAAATATTTAGCAAGGCTAATTCACATCTGACGTTTTATTAAACACAGACCAAAAGTTGCAATTACAACTTTGTGGTCTTGTTTCAATCAAATTTATTTTGCTTTCATTGTTTGTGTATCCAGAAAATCCAGTATGTTGCACCAGTACATACCACCAGGGAGGACACTGGAATGTGCTGTTGATATTGTGTTTTGTAACAAACAAACTCGAAATACAAACAAATGAGTCCAACAGGCTTAACCGACCAAAACGCCTTTTGAATCCTTTTGGATATGTTTGTGTAGTAGTGCAATAGCTCCAGCATCCTCTGCTCATTACCTTTTTATTTTTACATTTTTCTGCAAGTCCTGGTGTGGGAGCAGAAATTGTGAATGAATAAAATTTTTTTTGGAGATAAATGTCCCATGATGACAAGGCTAGAAAAAACTGCTTTTAAGAAGTTTTGTTTGAGTTTAAAGGCTTTTGAATGCGATTACAGCCTCAAGTCTTATTGGATGCAACTGAATGTGCTTGACTCATGAGGATTTGGGGATTTTCTTCCTTGAACATTAATAAAAGCTTTGTTTACGTTCTTGGTCTTGAGCCATTTTACTTTTGATCTGGCTGTTTGGGCTCCATAGTTGTGATAAGTGAAGTTTTTTGACTCTGAACCAGGTTCTTTCCAGGATTTGCCTGTTTTGGAACTTCACCCTTTGGGTTAAATAGAGGTCATCAGTTTTGGTCTCTGCTGCTATTGGCTTATTCTTGCAGGAATGACTTCTTTGACAACTCTGCCATATCACCAACATCTGAGACCTGCTATAGCTACACGCTGTTCTTCATGCAAGATCTTTGACAACAGCCAAACATTTCTGGTCCTTCTTGCCTAGTCACATAGATAAGTTTCATGAACAGCTAAATTAGTTAAATTAGTTTTGAGCATGCCCCTGTGTGTGCTCTTATTTTCTTTGTATGCTGTCAGAAGTTATTTTGGACTATTCAGTCCCTGCCTGTGTGCCATCTATAGTGCACTTGACTTTATGCCCATTCAGTCCTTTAAAATCATTCTATAATTTTGCAGTTCTCATTTAATTCTGTTGACAGTTTTGATATGTCTTGTCTTGATATAAAAAAAAGACATAACTTCTTTTTCTTGAAATTTCCTCTATAACCATTGTGGGATTACAGGACTATTGCCAAGGTGTGACTCTGTGAGTCTAAACCACCGGTTAAATAACTAAATTTTCATTGTGAGTAGTGTCAGACCTGTTACACTACACTGATTAACACTGAAATGTCAGCTTCATAATTTCACCCTGGAAATACATGTCTATAGATTTATAGTCAGGCTACTCACAGCCCCCCGGCTAGCAGCCAGCGCCAAGGCCCAGATGGAATGGAAAGTAGTTGGAAATTACCTACGGGTAAGCAAATCCGATTGCCATGTTGTAATATCCTCCTTCTATTACTTAGACAGATGTGGGTTTGATAAATCATTTTAAAGTCTCTCTTCTCCCTGTGTGGAAAAAGTTAGCTACAATGGGGGAAAGAGCTAATTTTAGCTTTGCATTTGTAAATGCACTCATTACAACATATTTAATATTTAGAAATATTTATTTCACCTAAGTTGTTAATTAAGTTAGCATAATGGTGGCTAATTGTGATGTTTTTAGGTTGAAGAAACCTCATGTGGTCTCATTTTGTTAGAAAATAATAATGCCTTTGACGACTAACGAGCCTTTTGGACATATGTACCCCCTCACAAGCGCAAATGCACACACAGACTCGCCATGTTCTGACCTGAGAGGGAAGACTGCAGATTATTCAAGCTCTGGTCCAGCAGCTGAGATGGTAGAAAGAAGGAATTCTCCTTTTGCTGGGCCTCTGCTGGTCTACCTGATGTTGCACTCATTCCCTCCTCTGTGTCACCAAACACTTCCGTCCACTCTCGAGAGAAGTCTCCCTCATCCACCGACATACTGCCCAGGATCTCATTCAGTAAGGCCATGCTGTCCTTATCCTCTCCCTCTAACTCTGGATAGGCAGAGAGAGGCTTTTCATTCCCTAAAATGATGAGGCACAGCAATAATGCATAATCATACTACAGTAATGTCACTGATGATTTCCCTGTTATTTATGAACATTTTCCCCAAAATGTTTTATTTTGTTTTAAAATAAAAATTGTAGTAAACCGTTTTCAGGCTGCAACTGTTTTGATCATAGGTTAAGCTGTGTTTCGACCGAAAGCACCCGGGACTTTTAAGTCCCCAGATCTCTTCAAGGAACTAAAAGGTTCCTTCAGCCCACTGTTGTGTGCGGTTAGGCAAATTAACCAGCTGATGTAGGCTTTAGGCCTATACGCCATACAAAGTGATGCACAGGCATCATTATTAGTAACCACTATCCATGAGCAAAATTTATAAATGAACATCAGATTTGACTGGAATATAATGAAAAACTATAGGCTGTGCTTGACCATTAAAGCAGCTTTTTTCTGTGAGAGTATAATAGACAGACACAATAAAGTTTGTTACACATTTAATAACAAACTGGATAAAGCCATAAAGTTCATAAAATAACTCCGGCATAGAGAAAGCAACACAAAAATAAAATCGCGACAGTTTGGAAGGTTATTACAGCATTTCCAGCTGACGAGAGCTACAGATCAGCTGCAGACTCACGTCTGTGTCCGCCAGGGAATCCAGAGCATCGGAGGAACGGGATGTTTAACAAGTTTTATTACCTGCTGTAATCAGCTGTTCCGCTTGTTTTGGAGAGGAGGAGACTGACTTCAGCTCTGTGTAAAAACTTTCTGACTAATGAAAACTTACCAACAAATCTGGACCCAGTATTTAATGTATCTCCCATCAGCTGTTCGCTGTAAACACGCTACTGCTATTTCCAAGCAATATACATTTAATGCTTGCGTACGATCTCAGGCGGACATCGGCGAGACGTGTGCTATTTGAGTGTTGGTTTGCAAACAACGGTGGAAAAGAGAGGAGCAATCCCCCCCGCCCAAAAGTACCGGTACTTTTGGAAAATACTACCCCCCGAGCAGGGACTTTTTGGGGGGTAAAGTAAAGACCCTAGAACTAAATTTGGACCCGGGTCCCTCCGGTGGAAACACAGTGAGTTTGGTCGAAATGCAGCTTTAGTCGTTTCTTAAGCAAAAAAGCCAAAAAATGACTTGTTCCAACTTCTGAAATGCTAATATGTTCATCAGACAAAACAAGCAACAAGAAGACTTTGCCTTGATATATAGACAAATATAATTAATAATAACAATATTAAAAACAATCAAGAAAATAATCAGCAGAATATACCATAATAAAAATAATTGAGTTGCAGCCGTAAAATAAACCAAATTAAATTTTATAGTATATAATAACTCTAAAAACATATTGGTTAAATAGATATAATAGTATTGTCTTTTACCTTTGGTCTTATCGCTGGTGTTTTCATTTACTAGTGAGATGAGTCTATAAATATGACAAACAGAAGATCAGTTTGTTTTACGCATCCATAAAGCAACGGGTGTGTAGAAATACTGTGTTTATAGTCTAGACCAGTTCAGTGTTTATACACATATCTTCAGTTTTCACTGTTGGTATGCATGTGTTTAGTCTACCTACAAGAGTAAAGATCAAGATGAGAGATAACTCACTGGTCGTCTGTGGTCTCTGGTCTCTCTTCTATCTCTGTTTTGATTTTCTTCTTTCCATTCTTTTTAGCCAGCTTTTTGCTGGGGTCTTGTAAAGTCTGAAAAAATAACCAAGTTACAGATTATAGTTATTGGCCACTTTGTTGTGTCAGAGATATAATGCTACTTTGGCAGTGGCATAATTTAGACCTCATCTGGACAGGTCTCTGACCTTAATTGTGGAGAACTCATAATGCTGAGAGCCCTTGAAGCTCTCGTGAATGGCTGCCATAGTGTGGGACGTCTTCTCCCAGAAGTGCAAAAGTGTTGTCTGAAACAGTAGAGCGAGCCAAGGTCACACATTGGGTTGGTTCACTTGTTGGGTTAAAAGAAGTAATTCTTGTATTGCTTTGTTCCCTTTATGTTTGTCTTTATTCTTGGCTTAACTGCCCGTGGTAGAGCGATTGAAAACAGCCTATTTAAGATCCCTGGAGTGTAAACAAACAACAGGGATTTGTGGTATACCTGGTATGTTGTTAAAACGTGAGAGAGGAGGTTGCAGCGACTGGCTCCCAGGAGGTCCACTTTCTGGCAGACATCATTCTTCAATTTGTCAAAGCTTGTTTTGGAAGTGCGCACCTGGGCTTGAACCTGAGATATAAGAGATAATAAAATGTACCAACTGAAGATACGTTGGCAGTATTATGTATCAGACAGGTCTGAACAGTGAAAAACAAACACTGGAGTTCAAGTGTGTGCAAGTGTACAGTAAGTAACTATGGTTTAAGCAGATTCATGATACCAGTATAGTTGGAACCATTGGACCGCAATTTGATGGTGCATTCTTCCCTCTAGTGGCTTTATTTTGTAACTGGCTTGTTTTTTCTTCCTTTGTGCTGATTGTGTCTATTGCTGCAAATTAGGGCTGACATGATAAGTCACTTACTTTTTACTGAAAGTAATAGATTCTGTTGGGCCCCATTTGATCTCTGTTTTCAACAGCTCCCTATCTACTGGTTGTGTCCCTGATTATTTTAAAACGGCTTGCGTGAACCCACTTTTAAAGAAACCTGGTTTAGATCCCTCCCTCCCACATAATTTTAGACCAATTTCAAAACTGCCTTTTATTGCAAAGATTTTAGAAAGAATTGTGTCCAAACAGCTGCTCACTGTACTGAAAATAACAAATTATTTGAAAAGTTTCAGTCTGGTTTTAAGAAGTACCACAGCACTGAGACTGCCCTGCTTAAAGTCACCAATGACCTTTTAATGTCTGCTGATGAAGGCATGTGCTCAGTCCTTGTACTCCTGGACCTTAGCGCTGCTTTTGACACCATTGATCACAACATCATGTTAGACAAACTGAGGCACTGGGTGGGGATCTCTGGTACTGCCCTAGAATGGTTTTCATCCTACCTGTCAAATAGGAAGTTTTGTGTGTCTGTAAACAACTATGTCTCCTCATTCTGTCCCGTTAAATATGGTGTGCCTCAGGGGTCGGTCTTAGGACCCATTTTGTTTTCCTTGTATCTGCTTCCCCTTGGACATATTATCCATAAACATGGCATTTCTTTTCATATTTATGCTGATGACACACAAATATACTTGCCCGTCAGATCCACAGACCCTGGAATGCTGAGTTCACTTAACAACTGTCTTTGTGAAGTTAAAAAATGGATGTCAAATAATTTTCTCCAGCTGAACTCAGACAAAACAGAAATCCTGGTCATCGGGTCTCAGCAGATGGCAAATCAAATACTGCCATCTGCTGGTTCCCTAGTAAATCACATTAAGCCTGTGGCAAAGAACCTTGGTGTTTGGTTTGATAGTAATTTAAATTTCGAGCAGCACACCACAAACCTTGTTCAATCATGTTTTTATCAACTTAGAAATATAGCAAAAATTCGATCTATGTTAACCTTTAAGGACACCGAGACCATTTTACACGCCTTCATCTCATCACGCCTGGATTATTGCAACAGCCTTTTCACCTGTTTAACCCAAAAATCTATTGATCGGGGTTAGGGTTAGGGTTAACAGCCTGCCCGAGGAAATCAGGTCGGCTGAGTCAGTGAACTCTTAAGTCCCTTCTTAAAACACACTTCTGTAGGAGAGCTTTTCCCGATCTTATTTGACTTTATTTTATCCCTTTTATTTTATTGTATTTTACTAATTTTATATTAATTTTTCATGCTCTTATCTTGTTTTTTTGTATTATTCTTTACACTTGTTAAAGCACTTTGTAACTTGTTTTTGGAAAGTGCTCTATAAATAAGGATTATTATTATTATTATTACTCAGTTGATGATATTTTAAATATCATGATAACTGTATTCAGCTATCAAGCAAGGCATATAAAGACGTCACGTTGGGCTCTAGGTAATGATGATGTACATTTTCCACTGTTTTCTGACATTTACATTGCAACATTTAATCAAAAAAATTATTGACTGATTAATTAATGCTAAGAATAGTCTCCCTACTAGCCCTACTCCTACAGCAAATAGCTGGATTTCGCAGTCATAAAATTTTACCTTTCTACCACACATTGTTTTGTTTTGTGTGACATTTGTCTGACACTCAATATTGATAGTGGATTACAAGCTGTGCAATAGCCAATAATTTAATCGGAGCGCAATTCATTGGCAAACTGCTGTATTATATATTATGTACAAATATAGTGCCTTGTAGTGTACAGATAAATAGATGTTTTTCACAAAAGACACATTAACTTGTCATAGCAGGAAAAGCAAGGGTGCAACTAATAACTTGTGCTTATCAGTGCCCTGGAAAATGCAAAACTACATGGAACACACTGATTACTTGTGTTATTAGTTACACCTGTGCTTTCTGCTATGACATGTCAAAGTGTCTGCTGTGAAAAAGGCCAATTTATTTGACCTTTGAGTCTCCCTGCTGTACTGTGTGACGGACAAACCTTGCGGAATTTCTCCATCTGTTTTTGAGTATCTGGATCCAGTTCCTGAGATACATCCTTCATCCAGAGCAGCGCGCCCCGGTATTCGGTCCTGGACTGCTCCATTCGATTCACCGTCAACCACGTGTCTGAAATAGCCCGATAGCGAAACGTTTCGACCTCCTGGTACAAACGGCACAGAGGTTTCCTCAGAGCCAATCTGTGGGATGTAGTTTCAAATTTGACATTATTATCATTACCACATTAGCTTAAGACATTACTAGACATAACATATGCTTTAAAACCAAAAGGTCTCTCCACTCTTCCAACAGAGAAAAAGTTTGAAAATGTGTTGCAAAAGCAAGTAGTAGAATTAATCAAGGACCCTGGAAGAATCAATTCAACCAATGTTTGTTGATCCCCCCCACAAGCAAAACTCAAAACAAAGACTAAGAAGTGAATATCTAGTCTTAATATTGAGAAACACTGGGAGGAACAAAATCCACTCTGCCATAGTCTCACTTGTTTACCATGCAATTATTAAGTATTTTCCCGTAGTCTAAGGGCAGCACAATTGCTGTAACATATTATAATAATGTAACACTTAGTTTACGTATTATCAGTCATTGTGCATGGTTATTTGGCCTTATTTTACTAGTTAGCTGTTGGTGACACAGATTCAGAAATCAAATACATTGAATCCTCATTTGATAATAAAGTATTATCTCAGTGGTGAACATGTCCTAGCAGTGTACATACCTAACTCTGGGATTACAGTTGGACGATAAGACACTCCACCCTATTCCTTATAGCTGATAAACGTGAATTATCTTGATGTTTCAAAAGGATGTGACACACATCTGTTACACATACAGTGATTCTTCTTTTTTTTGTATGTTGCCTACCTCTGTTGGGAGGAGAAGCAGAGGGCTTTTCCAGTGGCCTGCATGATCTTTCCAGCCCTGGTTTTGTCGTGTGAACCCTGGGTGCGCAGGAAACGACCCAGCTCATTCTCCTCTTCGGAAAGGACTGCATAGTAGAGAAGGGCAATGTAGTCTTAAGATTCAATCTCATACAAACAGAAAACCTGATTTGCAAATTTCATCAGATTAAATTAAACTTTACTATCCATGACAAGTGGACTGGAATCAGTTTCCATTTTCAGGTTCCAAATCCTATTCAGGGGTTGTACCAGAACAGGCTTACGTTGCTTAATTTTCAAAAAACGCCATATTTTTTATCATACTGCACATTGCTGCAGCTCCTCTTTTCACCCTGTGTTGAAGGCTTCACTTTAGCTATGGAGTGATACATCTTGTCTCTCTTGTGTCTTGTAAATTATCTTTGTTGGGAGTTGCACATGCACAGTTCCTAGTTAAGGAGTACTAGCCAATCAGAAGCAGAGAAGGGCGGGTCAGCAAAAAGATGGTAAACAGCTTCGATTCAGCTGTAGGCTACATGTTGCCGACCAGCTTGTCAATTTGGACTGGAGCAAGAGTTTCAAAATGGTGAGTTATAAATCTGTAACAAAAGTATTTTTCATCCATAAAGTTTTAACTGAGCTCTGTCTCTACATCACAGGAACAACTTTATGTCCATTGACTGCCTGGAGGGTAGCTAGTGTTTGGAAGGGAGAGGAGAGGTGTGCTGCAGCTCAGTGTTTTACACTGGTGTTTTTGAGGGCGTGTCGGACTAGCCGCTCGGCGAGCATTATGACGTATTTACTTGTGACCTCACAAAAAAGGGAAGTAAAGGCTGGACTACAAACGAGCTGTTTTCAGGCAGTTCAGAGCAGTGTTTACTGTGGAAGATGGGAACTCCCTTTGACTTTGGACTTTTTCACTTTGCAAACCTAGTACATGCACAAAAAAGAGATATAACTCAATAAAGGAGAGGAAAAAAGTCAAAAACCATAATCCCACCTAAGTATTTCTGATCGTATTTCATAATTAGAATAACGTTTTTAAGCGTTAATATTCGCTGTTGTATCTCAATCACAAGTAGCCCTGTAAATGAATGCATACTTTATATAGGAACACACATATCTCATATTCATGGCTTCTTCTCTTGAGAATGGTTGGTGTCATCCTCAAAGGCCAATTGTTCCCATGAGAGGGGCCAGACTAAGAGCAATGATCCAAAGGGGAGCTTCAGTGAGTACCTGGTGGCCAGAGGTTTATACTACTGAGCGTGTTCAACAGACCCAGAATATTTTTTTGTTATCTGGCTAACCCTAACATCCGCGATCACACACACTACAACTGTTACAACTCTTATATTAAGCATTTAATGAACTTGCATATAAACCCACTAATTAATTTAGAGTTTCTATTTCCACCAAATACTTATGCTGTCTATTTGAACGTACGGCAGATCCTCCTCTGGTACTGCTCGATGACCTTTAGCAGCTCCATGCATGTTCTCTGGATGGAGTGGAAGACCTGCAGAGCAGAATAACAGAATATCTACACAGTGGATCTAATGCAACAGTAAAGCAATTGAGGTAAAAAAAAGAAGCGTCACATTAAAGATTTAAAAAAATGTGATCTGATATGTAGACATCCAGTTTTGAATGGTTTATCACAATGCTCATAGTGGACTTGGCTTAAATTAAAGCCTGATCTTCCAGCTTTTATGAGGTATCGATTTCAGTCGTTAAATTCACTTCACTCCTGAAATGGAGGCATAGATCACAGGGATTGGAGAGGCAGCCTAATGTAAGTTTTGCCCCAAGTAAATACTAGCACAGAGTGAATCAAAAAGTCATTTTAGTCACTGCAGTCCTCCTAAGGGGAAAGTATCCCCAGTGTTTCTTAATGTTTCTGTGATGAGGCCTATGGTGACCAAACCTGACCTGATTCCCTCAACATGCTGTTAAACTACAAGCCCCAAGAGTTTCACATTCGCCCTCACCTCCAGCTTGCCATCCAGATCTGCATCTGACGCCACCACATGTTCGTCCTCTTTCTTCCCGGTGACCTTGATGAGCGTCTGTTTGGTTTTCCAGTACTTCTGCTGGAACTTGTTCACCACAGATGCGTCTTGACTTTGGATGAAGCGGTCAAGATAGTCTCGGGAGTAGCCACTGCAATGACACAGGGGTTTGACCAACATTGAGTCTACTGCTTTCTGTATACATTTTGGACTCATAGATTGGTGTGAAACTGAGAGGTGTATACTCACAAATTTCTTCCCTCCATTTTTTTCTCAATGACCTGTGTAGAAAGCAGAGCAACTTAGATTCCTAGTAGAATAATGTTTTTGAAAGACACAATTTTGGGTATGTCAACAAGACTACTGGAGAGTTCACTGTAAGTAAATGTACTTTATTTGTCACATACACATACATGTTGCGATATTCATCCTCTGCATTTAACCCATCCCTCAAGGACAAATCTCACATCATCCTTTCTGGACAGCACTTGACTATTGCAATTAAGAAAATTTACCAAACTCTAATGGGAAAATGGCCATGTAATTGAAATCAATATCACAAGTAATTTACTGATATCTATGTCACAGTACACAGCACATATAACATAATAATAAATGAGCTGTCTCCCACCAGGACCGCGTTACCTTAAAATAAATCATGTTTTAAACCTCGTTCACATCTCAGCTGTCAGAGTTTTAACTGGATCTAACAAGATCATATTAGATCATCCCTGCACAGGCTACATGCTGCTTTTTAACACTTTCATCACAATATTTGATAATATTTGGTTGTTTTCAAATACCTTTGTCGACCTTCCTATATGTGTGGGTTTTTTATTTTTTTTTGGAACCATATTGTTTGTTTTATAAAATTCTATAGAAATAAAGTTTATTATATAATCATCATTAGATGATGTTACTTTTGCTTCAGCTTGCTTTCAGTTATTAATTTGGAACAGTTTTGTAAAACAGTAACAGTAACAGCTACTGTATATAACTTCACAGTTCCAATGAAAGATGTTTATAAAAATGCCTTGGGGAAGAAGTACTCAGATATTTGAAGTAAAAGTAGCAGTACTACTGTTTAATATTACTCTATTACAAATTAAAGTCTTTAATTCAAACTCTTATGTAACATACATATTAGCATGAAAATATACTTAAAGCAGTAAAATGCTAATTATACAGAATGACTCATTTCAGAATCATGTATATTCTGTAGGGATTATTAATCGATCACTGTGTACATCTCTAATGTTGCAGCTGGTAAAGGTGGGGCTAATTTTAATTCCTTTATGTAATGCTTGGTGGCTTAATCTAATAATATATCATAATGTATAAGTTGATTCTTATTTTGTATTAATAACCTAAATCTTTATGTAACTAAAGTTTTTATATAATTGGTATGAAGTAGCATAAAATGCAAATAGTAAAGTACAGTACAGGTAGTTACTTTCCACCACTGATAACTGACCTGTTTCTGTTTAAGTTATAACAAGGTGTGACTGAGGTTTTATTTGTATTTCTACCCTCCCAGCTGCGTTCAAACATTAACAAGAGACCATTTAACCAGACTAGATTTCTATTGGGGAATATTTAAAACATTGTTGATAACACCATTACCTGTTTTGAATGAAATTAATAAATAATTCTACATATAGCTAACGCGTCACGACTCATTATAATGTGATGGGTTACGATGTGATGCGAAAGAAAACGCCTTCAAGGAACCTTAATTTAAAAGAAAAAAATAATAAATAGGCTAAGCTGTGAGCAAAGTGCTCTTAAATCGAGTTAACCGGCTTCGTAGAGGAGTAAAAATGTGACTACAGCACGTCCGCACCAGAATAAACACAGCGCCTGACTCAAATGCAGTGAAGCAGCGGATTCCTGCCATCGCCCTTTGAATATCACACAAAGATTAACATATAAATGGGCAAATGTCAAAATAAAACCGCATTATGTTGCACACGTACCTCGCCGTGTTAATAACATGTAGAAAAGGCTCGTTATATTCGTCCCATCGTTGCTCGGACAGCAGCTCCGGCTGTAAGGCCCTGTTGTACTGTTGTAGTGTTCACACACAGCTGCTCATTCACTTCAACGCATTGTCCGCCGCCTGCACGAAACAGCTGACGTCATGCAGGGTGTGCTCCCCTGATGTCGCGCGCGTCACGTCCAAATGTTTGTCTCGTGCAAACAGATATCACTGTATAGAGTCACTAATTGTCTTGTGTAGAGCGCGGTGTTTGTGTACCAGTGTCCAAACTGGTTTGATGGTTGTAGACTAGAAAACAATAATGAATAATGCAGCTCTACGTTTTTATTTTATTTTTTACTGTATAAATTATAGATGTATTTACACAAACATGGCCTAATTGAAAAGTTTGCAGCAGATCATAATTGAAATTATTATTTCATTATTATAATTTAATATACGGAAAGCATATGGAGCCAGGACAGTGACATTAGTTTTTGGCATTGAATAGAAAATTTGGCATTGAAAACTAAAGGAAAACACTGGCGTTGAAACACTTGTATTAGCAAAAGGTATATAGCCACTGGAAAATAAAACACTGGCATTAAACTTTATTTGTGACATTTTTTGCATTTTGATGTTTGTCAATGACAATCTTCAGATTTATTTTCATCATGTCAGTCTTTTTTATACACTGTCAGTTTTTTCTTCAGCGAGGGTGGTTTGTAGTTCCACTCAATATCACCATTTTGCTGTGGTGAGGAGCGGTTTGAAAGGAGGGGGCGAGGAGAGTGTGATATACATATAAACTGCATACTATTGACAGAACGTCACTCTTCTGAAGCCTCTTTTTCCATTCAGGTTCTGTTCTCAAAGCCACATTTTATTTGCAATGCCAACACTGTCTTTGCTCCACAAATACAATCAAATGATTGCTGACATTTAACCTTGTGTCCTCTTTGCATTCAGTTTATTTCACTTTCAAGTTTCATCTAAACCTGCTCTATTCAAAACATTTTCATCAAGTAACTATGTATGTGAAACGTGTCGCTTGTAGTGACGAACACAGAGAATTGTCACCCAACTCTGCAGTTCCTCTCAGCTCTAAGGAGAGTTTTATTTTTTTTAAATATATATATATTTGGTTTTAGTAAAGCAGCAACCTCTGGTCATGATTTCGAATGGCCAGCAGGGGGCAACTCCACTGGTTTAAAAAAGAAATCTGATTGCATTGGAGTCTATGACAAAATGACTACTTCTGTCTTAAATTTATTACCTCACTAAACACATTCCTGATGTATTCATTGTCTCTATTGCTAGTTTCAAGTGTCTTCTTCAATACCTGATACTAAATAAATAAATAAATAATATACTATATTATGGTCCCATTTAGAATAAAACAGACAATAAAGTAGAGTATGCTTTAGGACGCGTAGCCTCTAAGGAGTGGAGTCGGCTGTTCGAAACATTTTTGTTTCAAGCCTGTTTTTCTCTAGCCACAATTAGCAACCCAGTTAACATCTCATTTAATGTAAATTACAGATGCACCTTTCAAGCCAGGCTTGTTAGCTCCACTCTCTCATCCAAATATGATCATTTCTGGTTCCATAAAAACAAGATGCCGACGGACAAAATGCCAAACTTGAGGCTTCAAAACGATAGTCCACAAACCAATGGGTGACATCACGGTGGTTACATCCACTTTTAATAGTCCATGGTTTTGACACCTTTGAACTCTAGGTGTTGGTTCACAGTCTCTGCGCTCATCAGTGTTGTTTTCTGCAGACAGATAGACAGATATGTCCCTCAGGAGCAGGTGGAGACCAAAACAAAGGACAGTAAATATTGGACTTCATCAGGTGGACACCAAACACGACTCTTGACACATTGTGTTTACAGCTTGTTACGCTGCCCCCACATTAATAATACAGTTGTTGCTTAGAGTCAGACTGTGTTGTTGTATTTTGGTGCGTTGGGGTTTTGATTAAATTTGCATCACAGATTGTTCCTTTGAAGGAGGCCAACTGTCATATTTCAGGTAGGTGTTGCAGCTGTTCTTCTTTATTGAGACAGCCTGTCTGTGTTTTTGATCTCTTGTATGATTTTCCAGAGTATTTCCTTTGACACATTTTATAGTTCTTTATTGCGTCAGACCGATGGACCAGCTGTCTGGAAACGCATGATTTGTCCTCTCTTATAGCTGACACATGCGGCTGTTGTTGTTGTCCTTTTCTGTTTTTTGACTACTGGTGGAAAAAGTATTCAGAAAAATACTAAAATCATTCAATGTATAAACGCATTATGGTTAACATGTAAACAGGATTTTAATACAGTGTGTAATTGTTTATCAATATATTGTTTTAAAAATGTTAATTTGCAAAAGTAGCTACAGCTTTGACAGCCTACATATAATAATGTAAAAAAAAATTCCCTCTGAAATGTGGTGGAGTTGCAAAGTAAATATTCAATATACAAGTACCTCAAAAACTTTTCTTAAGCACAGTACTTGTATAAATGTACCAAATAAATAAAAGCCAAGTTAAAATATACAAACCATAGAAGATTATATGTAAAGTAGAAAAGGTGTGTTTACAATGGGGAAAAAAAAACACATTTGAAGATTTCATCTTGGACTCCAGAAAGTTATGATGCATTTTTTTAACGATTAACTGATTAGTCAGAAAATTAATTGGCAGATGAAGCGATAATGAAAATAATTGATATCTGCAGCCCTACTCTGAATTAGATGAAATTGTGTTTAAGGTCTGCCTTCTCTGACCACCATCGCTCTGCACATGAAAGATCCACCAGTGTTTAGTTCTGTGTTTGTCCAAAGGATGGCAGTGTAACATAAAAGAAGAGCCGTGCACCTTTTAATAGTCTCCTCTCTCCTGTTTGGGGCCCCGAGCTTTCATCTGTTGGCTTCAATTTATTTCATCACACTATACTGCAGCTGATCTAATGGCATGTACATTTTGTTGTCACCTAAAGGGAATTTCTTGTCATGCTCCAAATTGATGTACCTGTTTGCAGCCTTGGACAGTATTTGTGCTGCACAGTCACAAGGAGTGTGTGAGCAGCATACAGACAATTTTACAGATCAGCACACAGATGTACATTTAAACGGGAGATTATGGATTTATATTTGGTACGTGTGTTTTATGTAGAGCTTTGCGGACTTAATTTGATTATCACCAAAGGAACGTTGCACCCTTTGATCCTTGAACACCCTGAGGTAACTTTCTGCACAATACAGCTCGTTTTCATCCTCTATGCAATATGGAAACAAGCAAGCGTGTTTATTAGGTTATTTTGCGTCTTTAGTATCGTAATATTGTCCTGTCTCTTGAAGGAAGTTCTCCAGGATGCCTCCCTCTCAAACCCTGGCCTCTGACATCATCTCAAGGCTTTTGATGTGAGCAGATAGATAGATGCATCTCTTAAGGAGAGGATATAATCTTCATAAAGACCGGTGTCCTTCAACCCATCTGATCCTCCTCATGCACTTACCAACCTTATCTTCATGACCAAGATGGTATCAAACCATTCTGAGTTCTCTTAAATAAGACGGGAAAACAATCAGGTCCTCAAATTAAGTGATGCTGTTAGTGGTTTAATTCAATCAGGACTGAGTCAGAGACATTCCTTTTCTGATATTGATCAGGGATGTGCGTCACTATCGATTTTTCTCTGACATTTCCTTATTCCAGCTTGTGTGCTGCACTTCATTCATGAGATTTTCTTTTGTATTCAAGAGCCACTTCTTTCATATTCCACTGTCATCAACTGTACACCAGCTAATGCCAGAATGGCTAACACACTGAGTCCCATTTTCTGGGACACAGTCTAAACCAGACTTGAGTGTGCCCTCATTATGAAGGTTTGCAACCCCCCGAGAGGGCCCGACCTGACCCCAAAAATTGCTCAATTGACTTTTTCCATCCGCAGTTATGTGTGCTGATGGGGAACCATGACATTTACATTCGCACCACTCGAATATGATCCCTTGCTCTGCGCGAGTTTTCGACACAGACTATAGCTCAAAACAGGTCACAGGATCAAAAGTGTCTCTTGCCCGGAGGAGTCAGAGTCGGTCCTTTCCATTTCTGCACCAAATGGTGTTTTCTCTCTCTCTCACACCAGTAACTTGCTGGAACACATTTAGATCCTGAGTAGAACTCCTCGGTGCCCACTCATCACTCTGCGTGGTGTTTGAAGATTACTACGCTCAGAGACATCCTCACTGGGCATCCAGGCAGCTTAGAGGCCAAAATCCATAATCCCTTACCCTTCATGGGAATTCTCCATGCACTTCAACATGCTGAAATACAGCCCCGCTGCAGCAGCCTCTCATGGTCGAGGAGCTACTGCAGCCGGAGGCCGCGATAGATGGATGACATGTCTCAATGAATGTGAGAGAAGTGGAGGAAGTTAGATTTAAAAAATAAGGTATATACCACAGATAGTTTCTGCTCAGAAATTGAATCTGAAGGGATGTTTCTTGTTAGGTATTTTTATTTGTAATGTATGCACACTACTTCAGTCAGCCCACATGCACTGGTAACTATTTAATGTTTACCATAACAGCCTAGAGGACATTATTTACTGAGAATATGGGTACTTTGGTGAAACTCAGCAGCTGCACCTTTCTAGCTGCAGTCTCAATAAAGTATTTCCGCTGAGGCTTTTGTGCCTTATTAAAAAGCGTAAATAAGTGTAGTTCCTTGATTTAGTTATCTGCATGAGCAAGTAATATACATAAAGTTCAGCTGTTGTAGCTGAGGGACCGGAGAGGTTTAGCTTTTCTTCCTCTAGGCTGCACTCTAATGCTTTGTTAGTCCGCTCTGCTAAAACCCATGTAATAGCTTGGGGAGTTTGTCCTGCAGCAAACAAGAATAATAAAAGTAATCTCATATTCACATTTGGTATTTTCTCATTATGAAAATGTTTCTTTACCATAAACCATTAAAAGAAGATTTTCTTGACATACAAGAAGAAATACGAGGGAGACAAACAGAAAAGGTCAGAACGGGTTTTAGGCAAACATCAGGTAGCAGAGTCACATGTTGAACCAGTGGTTTCTAACTATGCACCATCTGTGCACAGATTTTTTGATTAGCATCAAGTTCAAGTGATTAACAAGGATTTTTAAAAAAGTTTTACGTGGCAGTTTGCAAGGACATCTCCATCCCTCAGACCGCATATGTCTGCCTATAACATGTTGAGCTCTAACTTGGACAAAATGTCAGTGTGACTGCCCTTGGTCAGCGAGGAGCTGGACCGCTACCCAACACTACCGGCCTAACCTGTGTCAGAGCATTGCAGCTCTCTCTCCCCGCTGTTTGGCATGCTCCGTGGCACCGAGCGCTGAGGGCAGAGCATGTCACCGAGCTGGCACCGGCCTGAACTCGTTCAAGGTTACTCTTTGATTTAATGGTGATGCATTTTTTAAAACCGCATCATCCCTCTCTCTCTTGCCACCGCACCTAGTCCATCTCTGTCACAAACACTGGCTGTGCATCTCACCTTTAGCAATGGAAGCACCAGGAGAGGTTGTTTAAGAAATAAATCAATGGCAAATGAAGCACCTAGCTCCGGTGGAAGCTGGTCCTGATTGTTTTACCTGCCGACCTGTTTTAAAGGCAGGACGGTGAAGGAAAACTGGACTATATATTTGGACTATGACATGGGAAAATGGTCTACTCATCACGTAAATAGCCTTTTGTATGGGCACTTACAATTAACACTGACTACAAAGCACTGATGTTTTGACACATAACCATGTGCTTTGGTAAATTGTAACTCGGATATTTTCTCTGCCCTTTTTAAAGATATAATGATGAAGAAAAGTATCAGTGTGTTCTTTATTTTGTGTGTCTAGTATAAATAGCATCCCCAAACTCTGTACTTCAGTGAGGTTTCTGACAAGGTGCTATTCAGTAATCATCAGCTCTCCTTGCTGTTGTTTCAGTAAATATACACTGCAGGCATTGTGTATCATAAAAATAGATTTTCAACTAGTTGCTCTTTTTCTCTGAGGTGCAGCTACTTGTGAACGCAATTGTTGGGGGTTAGCATCGGTGCACAAACACATACACACACACACACACACACACACACAGATATATTCAGGCGATCAGACAACATTTAACTTTTTTTTCCTTTCTTAACTGAAATTAAATCTGAGCTATTCAGGCACGAGAACATCAGCCTTTGTGTTGTGTGACAGCCTGTTATGGATGGAGATGAGGATTCTGATAGCAAAAAGAAGTGATAAATCAGAGGATAGAAATGGGCCATATTCATGAGCCATGTAATCCTCTTATATCTTTGTAATTTGTAATCTGTAATTTTTAAAAGCAAACACATCTTTACCATCAACACGTGTGCCTGGTTTGATACCGTGATCAACAGTAGCTCTGTTTAGTGATTTTCTTGCATGCTCTGAACACAGCCCGGTTCCATGACACCACTTACTGTCATCTAGTCATCTAGTGGCATTGCAGTGCACATCGCTTCTCTTTGAAACACTTATTGATTTATTTTATTTGAATAAAAACCTGTAGTCATTGCATACATTTAAAATCACAGAGGATAAAAACACAATAAAGCCAGATGGCTTATTTCCATTGTGGTCCTCAACATGAAGGTTTTATAGGCATTCAAAATTTCTGCCTTTACGTGTTGCTCTCCAAAGGATGAACCATAGACTGTATATACAGTTATAGGGGACAGCCTACACTAGCTCCTCCTATTATCTGAACCGTATAGAGCTGGAAGTAATTATTATTTAGCAATTAATCTCTTAATTATTATTTCATTCACTGTTTCATCTATAAACGATCAGAAAATATTGAAAAATGCCCATTATGATTTCCCTTAGCCCCTGGTGAAATATTCACATTGCTTGTTTAAGAAAACAAAGATATTCAATTTACAGTGATATAAAACATGATATAAAATATTCTCACATTTGAGAAGCTGAAACCAGAGAATGTTTGACACTTTGGTTTGATTAATACCTTTTACTTACATACTTTCACTATTGACGCCTGTCCTGGGAGAGGGATCCTTCCACTGCTGCTCTTCCTAAGGTTTTTTCCTTGAATTAAAAGTCCTGATTGAAAAGCCTTCAACTCAAATTTGTGATTCTGGACTACATAAATAAAATAAACTTGATTTGACTTATGTCTAAACAATTAATCGTGGACAGATTTTCTTTTATCATTAAAGTCATTTATTAAGCAAAAACGGCAAATGTTTACTGGTTCCAGCTCCTCAAATGTGAGAATTTTCTGTTTTACATCATTAGAAATGGAATATCTTTGTGTTTAGGACTGCTGGTCAGACAAAACAAGACATTTTACCTTGGGCTCTAAGAACTTTTGAAATTTCAGATTTGTTTCGATTGTTTTAGATTTGGTTAATAGATTGATTGATTGAAAAAATAATCAACACATTAATTGATAATGAAAAGTTGTTAGTTGCAGCCCTATAAATAACTGAATGGATTAATTGATGATCAGGATCCTTGTCTTTAAATAGACTAATTGGTTAATCAATGTCTTGTTTTAGCTCTAGATTGTTGTATTGACAAATGAGGTTACATAATTATAGACAACCACTGGGAAAATTGACTCAGTGCTTGGGTCAATATAGCAGACACAGTACTCGATTAACTTTACCCCTGGTATGAAACCATTCCAACACCAATCAATCAATCCCAAGATGCACTGTGTTTTTTTGACCCAGCTCAAGTTTCACATTAAAACGGTCTATTTTTAATGTGAAACTTGAGCTAGATGTATTACTTGAAAAATTGCAGAAGTGAGTGTAATACTATATATTTTAGTTTTTGTAAATAACCCACTTAAAAATTACTCTGAGACAAACGGTCCATTGTCTTGGGGTTGACGAGTGACCCAATGGGTTTTTTATCCACAGGTCCTGGATAAAGTAAATCCAGTACGGTGTCTGTGCTATAGTGACCTAATCACCCATTTTCAGTATGAAAATGATTTTCAGTATGTACGAATGCACAAGACAGATTTAACAAGTCGCTGCATCTCAAACTGTTGAATTCTTTACTATAATTTGCATTCTTGGGATTCTGTAACCTGAGCAATCTGAGAAATAAAGGTTATGTTTCTGTTACAATCGTTATAATTTGATGAGAGCGTTACTGACCCCGATACCCTGCATGCACGGGTATCAAAATCCTCACAGTCCCTTAAAACATGGGGCTTAGCAGCCTGATGAAATGTGAAAATGGCTCTTGTCTTCACATAATGTGCTAAAGAGTGGAGACTTGTGCCGAGACGTCCAGCTGACAGATATTTGAAAGCAGCCTAATTTCGTTCAGATTCATGATGAGATCATAGATGTGCAAACAGCAAAATGGGAGAATTAGACAGTCGCTGCTGTCAGCCATTATCCATTGTAGTACGAATTGACAGCGTTACGATCCATTAAAGCAATTAGCTGGGCCACACAGGTGCCCTGAATTTCTGTCTGTGAGACCTTTTATTAAAAGCCTCAAAATGTTCTTAATGTCTACACCCTTCCAAAGAAAAATCTGTATACCAAATGTAATATAAGCAACAGGACAGAATTAAATAGAGCGTAAACTTAATTTCATGTTTCCACATATTCATTCGATTCATATGGGCTTAATAGTATTGTTCATTTTCCTGCATATTTAGGGGTGAAGTGTTTGTACCTGGTTATGTCTGCAGGGCATTAAGTCTGACTAATGAAATGACTCTATCCTCTGTGGCGTTTTAATCTATTCACTGGGAAAGTAATTGACAAGCCCACAGTATGTGCATTAGGATAGTTCCAGCACCAAAGGACAGCTGTCACTAAAGCAATTAAAATGACAAAGGTTAATTAATTCTCTCCAGTTTTTACCTGATATGAGACATTCACAATGAGTGAGTTTTTCATTTCCGGAGGAGTAATAGTGTTTTGAGGAGAGTAATTTATTTGTGATTTAAAAAAGAAAAACACCAGCCATTGTCTGATAGAGCCTTTAATATGTCAATACCTCACACAAAACTGTGCCCCAGGACAGCATCGGCCCCAGATCTGAATTGAATTCTGCAGCAGGACATGGTCTAAAATGACAAATGGTTGTTGTTTTTTAAAGTAGGATACCTATTGTGTCTTCTGTAGCAGCTCAAAGAAAATGTGATTTGTTTATAAATGTGACTTGCAAAGATGTTTTACACTTATACAATTCATTTGAACAAACGTCTGGAAATGGGAAAATGAAGCTCTACATTTTTTTTACTGCGGTTGGGGGTCAAGCGGAAGAAAACCAAGATGCAAATAATTACTATGCCAACCACCTCTGACACCACGAGAGCAGAACCCAAGAACTTTCTAATCCACCTAAATGTCAAAGCAACGTTCGCGGCCCTCCCTCCGTGTGAATCTCTACAGGCTGCCAAAAGGCCAGTGGTTAGTCATCTGTTTACTCCTGCAGCTGCTGGGTGTCATTGGGACTCTGAAGGAGAAATCCCATGATTCTCTCTGCCATTTCTGACAGCTCCCGCCCAGACCACATTAATCAGGGATTGTGGGCGAGCTAGGGGATAGACGGCAGGCATGGATGGCTCCGACCCAGGACAACTGAACCGAGGGAGAAGATCTGGGCCCAAAGATAACTTACGTCCAGACACTGCCGGGTTGTAATGCTGTCGGTTTCTTTCATGCACGCTGAGCTCGTTAAATGGACAGTTTCTCTGAGGAAACGGCTAGTTTTTCTTGTTGTTGGGTAAAATGGTGCTTTCAAATTAACATAATGTAAGAATTTTTGGCTTTAAATAGGAGTTAAATTAATCCAACCTCTTCCACTTGTGCAAATTAGTCTCCAAGAAAGAGATTTGCTGCTGAATTTAGTTATTTAGTCTAAGTTATTAGATATTTGAGATTGGATTTGATTGAATTTCTGAAAAGCTATATTTCTTATGTTTTAATTATAAAACTCTACTTTCTACATCCCCTCTGTTTAATACGTTTATTGAGTTGTACTGAAGGTACAATCAGTAATCTGAAAGTTAACAAAAAATGGCCGTAGCACTAGATGCCAAAACATAAAATTGGATCCTGTTGTCTCTCCCAAAATTTTTATAAAGGTACTAATACTAGATTAACTAAGTTAGTCATATTTACAGATGCAAAATATGTTAAATCAGTAACTATTTGCAGATTTTTCATCCCTTGTTAGACTCCTAAACAAGCTGTAAACAAAACACTGACAAAGTATCACTCCATAAAGCTGATATGGCCAACTTGTTAGGTCTTTATTTACACTTCAGCAGACACAGAAAAATGTTAATATTCATTTGGAACCGTCTTTTTGAATAGAAGTTGAAAATGTACACTTATTTACTTTCTACCAACTCCTGAGGGAAACATCTGGCTCTTTAGCTGCTAAGTACTCTACTATTTTCACAAGCTAGTGGCTAACTTCGTCTGTCAGCTGTTCGGCGCTGGGCAGGCGCTGCTGGAAACGATGCTGATGAGAGCGACGAGAGTGAATCAAAACGTTGAGGGCCGTAAAACCAAAACAATAAGCTGAAAGATGTCAAAACGCAGAGCTGAGGTGAAAATCTGTGGGTCTGTCACAAAAAGCAATACCTTTCACATTAGGCATCCATTGCTAATGTTAAAATATTGGTTAGTGCAGCTTAAAGTTATATTTGTGAAGACATCTACAGTATACTTCATATGGCCACAGTACACAACAAGATACGTTGTAGCCTCAGACGACATCGGGGAACAGATACATCTCTCAGTAGCTGTCACACCAACGACTGTTTACACTTGTAAGATTATGTGCATAATGAGGCTGCATTGTCTCTGCAAAGTGGTGCTTTAATTCTTTGAAGCTGAACAAACTGTCCCTGGCACATTTGGGTAAGGGTGGAGAGATTTCAAAGTCACTTTATTGAGATGAAAGAACTGGCCCAAACAGCAATCTGAGACATTAGTCATTCCTTCTTCTAGGTGACAGAAACATGCTCTCAATTTACGAGTCAGGTGCTTCCAGTGATTTCTGCCAGCCTTGTTCCTCCACATCATAAATTCCTCCTTATGCTCACTCATCCCACAGGCAGACCCCTATTCTTTGGCCTGCCTTGTCACAAAATACACCCCATGTTGGCATATTGGATGTCGTCCAGGCTGCCATTAGCAGTTACTGTGTTGCGTATACCAGCGTACACTGTGAAACAGCACTGAATTTAAATAGACAGCAGTGATTGCGCCCCTAGGTGCACATTTGTGCTTTTTTTTTTTTTTTTTTAACAGGTTTTCTATCAGCACTTTAATTCATTCTTTCTGTGGTGTTGACTCTGCAGAGCTCCCACTTACACTGTGTTCATTTCCTCTAAATGCTTCACGTGGCGCCACTGGCTCCCAATTTATGTAATGAAGGTTTAATAGCCAATTGGAACATCCAATACCATTAACAGCTAGTGTTAAGTCTCATCCAGAATTTTATTTTTTTGATAACCAACCATAGGTGGAATGTGTGATTAGCACCTGCTGTTTAATGTATGTCCTCTCTCTTCTGGAGCAAGAAACCACATTTTACCACATCTCACAGTTCAACACAGCGTTTGTTCTGTTTCAGTCTTTGTTAAATTAACTTTATTAAATGATCTTCTGTGTTCCTTCCTTGTCTTCCTCTCTTCTGATTGTTCTAATATCTATTTTTTAAACACTTTCAAACACTTTTGACCTTGTTTTCCTGTCATTATTAGCACTTTTCTATATTAATGATTACTCCAGTGTGTGCAGTTAGTTATTTCTGGAAACTGCAGGACCACTGTGGCTCTGACACATGTTGTGTCATGTTAGTGATGCAGGACTTGAAATGTATTATAATGAACTTGTAAAGTCATAAAAATGAGAGCAACATCTAAATGTCTAAAATGGAAATACAGAACTGTGAAACCAGCAGAATTAGAGCACAGTTATGTTTGATTTTTACAAGAGGCAGCACAGAAAATGATCTTTTGTATCTCTGTCATCTCGTGTGTCTTTATTTTAGTTTTATTTATTTATTGCAACATTTACTTGCTTATGTTTGATCTGATGTGAGCCCTCCATTTGTGTCATTGTCATCACTGTGCATGGCCTTAAAACTGCTAACACATAACACAGGATTGAAATAGAAGCACTGTTTTTTCTTTTACTCCTGTGACTTGATGAGGATTAGTTTTGAAGTAACATGAAACTATAGATGGACGTTATTCAGTTGTTTACCACATTGAGTTCATGCATGAACATGGACGAGATTCCCAACAACACTATCAGAGGTATATTCACTCTAACAATCACACTGCAGAAAACAACACCACTCAAAATATGTTTGCTTTTTCCATTATGCCCTCTAATGCATACTGACAGATTCTTCTTATTTGCATTGACATTTACGTGTTTGCAATGATTACCAGAGACTGATTGGAAAAGACAGAAAGCATGATTGAGACGGAAATTCACTATCAACATAAACAACTAAATTAGCAGGAGAAAACATTAATAAAATTGTTTTCTGGTCTTTGTGTGGAATCCACAATATTTACATAAATACAATCAGCATATTTTTACGGTTGGCTTGAGAATTTCCATTCGATGTAAGCAGCTATGCATATAATATGAGTATTGCAAGCCTATAAATGCTTCCCTAAATGCTCTCATAATGACCTCAGGGTTGGTCTGTTCATTGCCGCAATATCAGTCTTGCGAGAAAGATATGTTAGCTGTAATAATGCCTGTCAACGTCTCAAGTTTGAAGTGTCTTAACTCCATTTTCATTCAAATAATCTGACACCGCTTAAGACTCGACGGCTTGTCTCTTGTCTCCCGTCTTTTTTCCCCTCCTAGTCTGGTCATGTGATCACCCGGTGGGCAGGTAAGGGGTGTCACTGTGGTAGTTGTAATCTGGACACACCTTCTGCACCAGCTTGTAGTCAGTGCTGTAGAAGGTGATGAAGATGCAGATGACTTTAAAGGGCTTGGAGCACAGCCAGGACACGTGGCTCTGGGTCTGCTCCTGTGGGCAGCTCTGTGAGGGGTCGTGGGCACACAGTGAGTTCCTGGTGCCCTTCTCCACCTTCTCGTACTCCACCCTGCAGTTGAACAGCTTGGTGTCCTTGGTCTCCAGAGCTGTCTGTTGCTGCTGGTGGTGATGGTGGTGGTACTGCTGGTGCTGCTGGTGCACCTGGAACTCCACAGCTTTGGTCGGCGGAACGAGTCCCACGGACACGTTGCCCTGACCGGTCGAGTTGTGGCGAAAGTAGACGCTGAATGTCCCGTTGCCGTGATCCACGATTTTACCGGTAATGAGAAGGTTGAGCTTCACTGTCTTGATGTTGGAATGGAAATCACCCCAACCGAACATCTTCTTGAACTTGCCAGTCTTGACGATGGGTCTCCTTTTTGTCCTGGATCGAGGATCACGGGGGTTTGAAGTGTTGTAAAGCCAGTTCCACTGCTCCCGTTTAGAGTACAAGTCTGCTTCGTCGTAGTTCAGATCCAAAGAGGTGAAGTTCTCTTTGCCATAGAGAGTCTGGGACAGCAGACGGCTTATGGAGAAGGCCTTGCTGCTTTCAGTCCAGTAGGTCTTCACTTTGGGTTTTGAGCTGTCTCTCAAGTCCGAATTTCCTGAACTTGGTAAATCAGCACCGGCAACCTGAAAGAACAAACAAAAGAACAACAACAAAAAAACACCATTACTGAAAAATTTCAACTGGAAGCCTCCATCAAGGCTGCACAACATTTCTCTAAATTTAAGAAAATATTATCTGGATCTGAAACTGCATCAAAATACATCACGTGTTGACAAACATGAGGAATACACAAATTCTGTCTGGAAACTGTATGAGGATGAAATGTGCAAAATTTCAACACAGTCACACACTCAGGTTAACACTGACTTAGGTCCATTTAAATTAGATTGTCCTCCCAAGAAAACTACAGCATCAGTCATTTCAGCAAATGCCCCAAAACAACACGTTTATGATCAGGTGACTGTTGTCTGCTGGGAGCAAGAGTGGAAATAGGTACCTTACCAAAGTAGTAATTTGAACTCAAATGGCAATGTTTCCCAAACTTAACCAAGTAATTTTTGTGCCTAAAAGTAACCAAAACGTAACCATAGCATTATCATATTATAAAAGGCGGATAAATAATGTCAGATCAGAAAAAGCTTGTATGTGCCATTCTGGACAAACAACACAATCTAGTAATAAATTACATATTCTGTTGTTGAATTTGTGAGAATTGTTGATTTAAATCTATTATGTTGGTATAGCGTCAGCTAACAGTTGATATGTGTATATGTGATATTAAAATCTTGATGCGATTGCACAAAGTTTTAGAAAGTTTCAGCAATTTATCTGAAATAGGCTTTGCCTGGTGAAATTTGTAGGCGTAATAAAAAATATTCCAAAAATTCTCAATGTTGGAATATCTTTTTAGACAAAAATGAGTGGGCCCTATATCGAAACAATTTTCTCTAATTTAAACAAATTTAGAGTCACTTCAAATTAATTGAGCAGCCTTGATGGACCAGACCAGAATCTCTTCATCAATTTCAAACCTTACAAATGACATTAATTGTAAATGTTTAGTTCCAATGCAAGAATCAAGTCTTTATTTACCAAGCCAGAAAGTAAGTGTGTGGCATGTCTCACTTTCATGCAATAGATCAGAGGTACATCTTGTAGCAGTCCAGCAAACCAAGTTTTTGTTTGTTTGTTTTTTGCCTGGACTAGCCTAGCATTGCCAGACTAATTTGCAAATGTATAAAAGTCTGGAACCTCTGCGTATCAAACCCACCTCATATCAGATAAACGGTTGTGATTGGCTCGGCTGTATCCACTTTGGGTGGAAATATGTCTGAAGGGGAGGGGGACCAGACGTATCTGCCAGAGCAAATGGAACATGAGCTCTGTAGTTTTGTCTGGTTTCCACTGTAGTTGCCATGCGAAGATAGAATAATGTAAATACATTAAAAGATGTTTTTTTTTGCAGACAGGTCCAATATCAACTGGCATGAGTGTTGGGTAGACATATGCTCAAACTAAGAGACAGGACCAAGCAGGATCTCCTTTGCAGTAGTAAGAAAACACAAACAAACACAGATGATTTCTCCACCCACAAGCATGTCAGCACCTATAACAAATGGTGTCAACGCTATAACTGACTCTTACAGTTTGTGAAGCGTCTTGTGCGGGGTGCCCTAATCAAGATTAAGGGTATTCCTGCCATACATCGAGATGAATGAAGCGCTTCTCGGGTTCAGACGTGATGCAACAGCAGACTATTACCCGCTGAATGTGGCCTGAATGGATGATTGATGATTCATTCTGTGTCTCACCTCTAACAATCACACAGATGAGAGAGCGAAGATTCCCTGCGCACCCCACAAAGGCTCGTGACAGTGATGTCCAAACCCCGGCTGAGGAACGTGACAGCAGATCTATCTGGTCGAAGCGTTTACATTTTGTACCTTCATCCTGCGATCAATACTCTAAAAATAAGGTCTTCTCTCATTCAGAAAGTTCACTGAATGACATTGTAGTCCTGTAGGCTGTGGAGTGTGTGTGGAGCTTTCACTGAGTGAACTGTTACTGGAGTTGTGATCTTTCTCAGAAGCATGTCTTCATTTTATGAACTTGGCTTCAGAGTGGAGGAGTTTGAAAAGATGGCCTCCAGTTGTTTTGAAGAGACCTTGATGATGAATGACCTGATGTGAATGAACCGTTAGTGGCATTGTGGAGGCTTAGTAGCTGTAACATCTTTACCCTCTGAATTGTGGAACATGGGCATACATGTTTTTTTTTTTTTTTTAAAGCATGATCCACAAAGTCAGATCAAGTCAAGGCTTTTTCCTGTTTGGAGATAGCTAAATCTTTGCAGTCAGTCGGTTTTATAAAAGAAAAAGGAAGCTGTGAGACTTTAAGAGCAGAATATTTGTTTGATGAGGTGAAGAGAAATATGAATTTCAGCAGTTTCCTTGCACAGTGGGGCAGTTAAACTGTATTAATGAACACCTTCTTTTGTCTTCCATCGCTGGAAACAAAAGTCTGTCATGTTGCCTCACTAGTGATGTCGTGTAAAAAGATAAAGTGAATGTGAAGATGAGGGAGGCTTCCTGTTTAGGATTTATTGGCACCATTATAGTCAAACATTAAGCTCCTTAGGATGTAAAAGTAGCAGTGAAACAGTATCTTATAGACTGTCAGCCCAGCAGCTATAAAGTCGATTATGACATTAAAGTTAAAGTCTTTATTCTTGGGTTTGATAATATTTAAGGTGTCATCTTGTTTCAGTTGTTTATGCACATTTTAAAAGTGGAAATGCGGCAAATAAATGCATTTGTAGACAGCAGCTAGTTTAAGTTCATGGTTACTGACAAAACATAACCTCAGATTATTTATTTTTTTAACAGTGCAATGTATAATCAGGAGTTAAAAACGTCTGGTCTGTCCTTGAAGTGTCTGTTCCTTCTTAGTTGAAAGTTGTGTTGTAAATAAAGATAGCACATTGCGGCCCTGTCATTCTATTTGCTCCGTGGGCGAGGGGGCTGTAACCTACATGCACACACCAATTACTGCAAGATCAGTCAACACTGTTTTTAAATCCAGGGGCTTGGCAATCCAACAAGGAAACACTGTTATTTTTGGATGCTTTTGAAAAATATTAAAGCAATGACATAATATACATATATATATATATATATATATATATATATATATATATATATATATATATATCTCAGTGGCAGCCAGGTTGTCCAGTCACAGGCTGTGTTATTAGGTGGTAGACCGATTCACAAACATGATCGGAGAGATCTATGCTGTGTCCTGAGTATTTTGAAATCTACTGCAACACAGAAGCAGAGAATAATATAATTTGTAATGAAAGTAATTTTCAGAGAATAAATGTGTCAAGATAGTTGAACGAATATGGACAGTTCAGTGATAGAAAATGTAAATAGTTCACCTATAGTTTCTTTATTTATTAATTATTATTAATCAATCAATCCATAGTTTTTCTCATGTTACATAGCTAGATAAAAGTAACAAGCCTCTTGTTAAAATGACATTATTATTGTTTATTATTGATTATTGTTACTATTAAAATGCATAGCTCTGCAGAACTATAGTCTTGAAAATGTTCAGTTCTCATGACCTGGCTATGGCCCTGAACGCAACATCAAAAAGTGTTTGGGAAAAACTAGTGAACCCCTTTCCAACTACATTTACAGGATTTTGGTTAAACACTTGATCACTTGTGAGTGTAAACCAGAATTCAGTTTTACATGTTTATAATAATCTTAAAATCATTAAAATGTCTCTAAATGACCTTTGACCTGTAATCCAAACTGTAGACCCCATTTTTTTTTCATGTATATTTCTATTATGAGTTGTGAAAAGACTCTAGTCTCTAATAATCAAATGAAATCTCATTTTCATACTGCAGTAATTACCGATGCTTCTCAGTAACTGGGTTTCAGTCTCAATGGAGTCTTGAAACCAGATCAAGTTAGGAAACTGCTTTGAGCTGGTTTAAGTGACTGTCAGCCTAATTAGTGACTGTGTGTGTGGATTTAACATTTTAAGGTGTAGATGAAAAGAATATTTCCTAAACAATGCAGATCCAAGCAGGTTTTGACTCAGATGGTTCAAGTTTTATCATTTTGTCAACCAGAAAATTAGATTGCCTACTAGAGAGTGTTTTGAAAAGCACCATCATTTCCCTGCAACTCCATGTTATGAATAATTTTGTAAGAGGAGGTGTCACCGGAAACACTTTTTTCAAGGGATTTCTTAGCTATTTTCTTCCAAGATTATCAAAATTACACAGCACATCTGAACCACGTGCCTGAAGCAAGTCCTTGTTGTGGGAAGTCGCTCTGTTGTCACTGGCGTTATGTATGGTCCCCAAACTGTGACATGCAATTAGCTTTCATCTAAAGCACCTGACAGTCTCTGGATTAGAGCACTCAGAGGCACATTCACAGAGACCCCACTTCACGGATTAGAGCCCAACCTGTAATCCAGCCCGGAGAGATTAGGCAGATCAGAGGCAGTCCTGACTAAAGCAACGTTTATATCCAGAACACCCCAACTGACTGCACCAACACTCGGAGGGCTGAGATTTACCTCTCGCCAGCTTCAAAAACATGCAAGCGAGGCACAAAGAGAGTGTGTGTGTGTGTGTATGTGTGTCAGATGCATGAATGTGTCTGGAAGAGATACTGCAGAGAGAAAAGAGGGAAGGTGCTGTTGGATAAAGGACAGGAGAAAAACAAACATGGCAGCGTAAAGGTCAACAGTCACACTTTGGTAACTTTGGGTTTAACAGATATTGGTTTGCCAGTGTGGGTTTTTTATTAAATATCAGCTAAGGGACAAACGATATGGTCCGCGGCGCAAAGGGAATTTTGCACTTAATTAGTTTTATTTAATTATGATGCATTTTATAAATGTATTTTGGATTTCAGTAGTTGTTGTTAAAGCAGTGTTGTGATGTGCAATCTTTTTTTGGTCGTGACTCCTTAAAATGACACAGTATCTTAATGCGAATATGAATTGTGTGCAGGTGAATCAAAGCGTGATTTTCCCGTCTGAGATTCTCAGATCGTTTCATATGTTTTGTGACCAGAAAAAGATAAAATTATTA